AACCCTCGACGATAAAATACAAAAATTCAAATTATCTCATTTGATTCTACCAAATCTTTAACATGCGTTAATCTGTGAATTTTATAAAACAGAAAATGTCATAATAACTGATACTTCATGAATTAACAAAGAGTTTATTGAAAATTTGGGATGATTCACTAAAGAGACTCGCAAGAGTAACGAATGGAATAAATTATGCCGCGATGGCAATGTCGTCCTGTGCTTTATTGGATTATATAGTCTGCATACCTCTCTCTTACAGACTGACAGACTTTGTATTGTTCAGCTAACAGGACATATTTTAAGCAATTTTCATGCTTTTCACAATTGCGTGTAATTTCATAATTGCACAAAACAGTATGTTAACATTTCATGATTTTACTTATTTAGTCAATAATTGATTTAGTTCTAATTTGTTTTTTGAGGACAAAGAGGATATAATAGCGTAATAAGCATTTTCCTATTACACTATTTTCCCATCATTCAAATTAATCGGTTTTGTCTCTGCGTCAATTGAATTGAGCAGCTTATTAAATATTTGAGAGTGCATGATATTCACATTCGCTATTAAGTCTCTCGCATTAGGAAAAGTGAACTGTTTTATACATCTTGTATTTCAAAAAATGAAGGTAAATAGGACAATATGAAAAATACAAATACAATTTACCTAATGACTATCTATAATTGCTCCAAATTAAGACATACTATGCTATTAAGATGGGTTCATATTATAATTATTGAGCCCCTTACTATTACTGAATATTTCTCAAAAATCAATATCAACTAATGCCCATATTTCCGCTAAATATCTCACACAAACATGAATCTTATTTTCCGGTGAATACATCCAATCAGAAAATGAATGTGTCTTCATTGTACCTTCCAATATCTGAATATTGTTTCTTCTACCATGATGTATTACAGTGTAATTAAGATTATCATAATTAGAATTGTGTCTGGATAGCTGCCTCTGTCTGACCTTAAAGCAATTTATGATCATACCTAATATACTATGCTTAATATCTGCAAAATTTGAATGAAGTGTCTAATTTTCTTGCATTTCTATACAATTTAGAGTGTTAACTACATGTCTAATTATTTTATTCCTTGCTGATTCCACTCTTTTCACTGAAATTTTCCATTTTAAAACATGGCCTCTATGAATTATTTTGTATGGGTGACCTTAAAGCTTATATCCATGAGGTCACTCTCTATAAATCATCCTGAAGATGATTCTTAAGATATCTCTGACATCTATAGAACTGGGAGACAATTCTTAGCTTTTTAAGATCTTAATGATTTTGGAAGCCTTTACCCTGACACCCAGTACTAATAACTAACTTCTGACTAGGATAAACAATTTCATATTCTTAATCCTCAAGATCTTAATGAACCCCAGAGTAGCTGCCATGGTTTTTCAAAGGAGTTTGAATATAAAATAGACTACTAACTTTAATGAAAGCATTAAACTTAATCTGAAGGCTAGATCAAAACAAAAGGATGTCTCTTGTTCAAAGAGTATCTCCTAAATGGATAATATTGGATATGACACCAGACTCTTGAAAAGGGTCATAATTTGAAGGCCTATGACTCAATGTCTGATATGTCATGATTGAAGGGGAAGCCAGGGGAAATGAAGAGTTATATTGATCCCATAGGAATTATTTCAGGTATAATTTTTACGAACCATACATGCAGTATGTATACAAGATCTTGGGACACCACTTGAAAAATCTCTTGAATAAACAAAATATGTTCAACACTTTTGTTAACTGGTCTTTGACATGCTATATTTTATACAGTATATTTTAATCCTTTGCATTTTATTCTTATTCAATATTACTAATAAGTCTTCTCCTCAGAATTTTTCTTGTAATAAAGTGCAAATATCTCTTTATTGCCAGTAGAAAAAATTCTTACAGAATATTCAAAATCAAGTCAATATTCTGTCTGAAAATATCATTTAAGAAACTATTTCCAGATCTTCTTTGAATTTTTTAAATATGATTTTCTTGGCAAATCAACATATCATGAAGCATATCAACATTTCTCAAACACAGTTATCAGGGGAGAGGGTGGTCACAGAAAACTGTTCATATACGTTAGTAATCTTGCATTGAACTGGAGATGCTCCTTTAGCTACCTGGTCAGGTCATCGGAAACATTGCTTATAGTAGCAAAATGTAATTCTGATAGAGGTTAGTCTAAAATGTATTTGTTCATGAATTTTCTTATTTTCAAGTAGTCTTGGTAATTATAACCTTTATGCCCACCATACTCTTATTTATCCCCAATAGAGAGAGGAGCTAGGCTAAAAGCAAGACTAATTTTCAAATGCAGAGTTTACCCTTTGCATTCATTCAACTTTGCTTTTTAAAAGAGAGCTTCATAGGGTGCAAAATAGTTGAGAGTGATACAAGCCTATTTTGAAAATCTCAAGTAGCTCATCTAATCATCTCAAAAACATGAGAAATTGTTGATTGACCAGATGGGATCTAAGATAAGTTTAATCTTAGTTAAGAATCTTTTGGCCTTCTTTCAGGACAGAGGATGTGGGGTTACTGTCTTATATTAGTTGAGGCCCTTATCAGATCACAAACTTATTCCAAGAAAAACAGTGCCTCAGGTCAGAATAGAAATAATATTTCAATATGTTATTTTCCATGATAAGACATGTGTGACATGTTGACATATAGAAAATAGTGCCAGTATGTTATCAATATGTTTAATATAATGGTTATTGAGAGATTGAACTAGCTCAAAAGCTAGATTTAGAACAGTATTTAGAACTTTCTTTAAGTTAGCTGAAACAAAAAAGATAAATATAAATATAGGTATCTTTGAAGATATAGGCATATTTAGTGAAGAACAAGATCCAAATATTTTACAACCTTCAAAAGTCTTCGAAACCTGACAACACTGTAATACTTAAATGGTATGTTTTATTTCTTAACGCTTGCTTTGGACCCAGTATTAATCGTGAAACCAACTATAGTGGTCACAGGGAAAGTCTGTATTTTCTCTAAAAGGGCCCCTCTAAAAAGGCTTAGTTTCCACAATTTTTCTTTTCTATTTATTTACCCCCCCCCCCTAAAAACAGGGCATGAACATGCAAAATATTAAGTACCACCTGCTTATCCCGTTCCCGGACTATGGTCCTATGAACATCTCAATCTTTTGCCTGTGCGATTACAACATGGGAGAATTTTTTACTCATCTTACACTTCAGATACCTACTTCAATAGATTCCTTGGTAATTTAGCATTCTTTTCGTGTAGTTGAATCCACAATTGTCTGGGTTTATCGGCAGAACGAAGACATTTTCGTTTTTGATCGCAATATTTGCGTGTAACATTTAAGTTATTTAACTTATTTCAACCGTCAAATTCCTCCATATTGGTACTTCTGGGCTACATCCGGGACAGTCAAACGGGGGATTCCCCTTTTAAATCCAACCGCCATTTTGAAAAGTGATGGAATCTCTCTCGATGAAAAAGAGAAAATGTTCCCGTTCTGCCGATATACCCAGACAATCGGCGGTTCCAATATAGTAGAAGTTACATCTTGAGTTCTATAATGCATTGAGGTAGGTATCTTAAGTGTAAGGGCCGTAGATAATTCTCCCAAGTTGTAATCGTACAGGCAAATGAATGCGCTCAGTGCAGGACTATAGTCCGGGAACGGGATAACCACCTGCCATTTGTTACAGATGCCCAAGTCCGAACAGTGCCTACAGAATGCCAAACAATGGACAGCGAACAGTCTTATAGTCCCCGGGAATTGAAAAAATCAGCAGTAGGGTATACAATGAATGAAATGAGGCATGATTGCTCTGAAAGAACTACTAGGAGTTACTGAACACAGCTGGCTCAAAAGCCAGCTGAAGCACCGTTAGAATATACCGTCCTGTGAAGCGGTTTTCTCCAACTTCCAGCAGGCGCGCTGGAATAAAAAACGGTATTTAAGAAGATAATTGAATGTAACTTGCCCTTTTCATCACGCGTGGTGACAATAAGTCCTACTTCTTGTGTAATTGCAGTTAAAATGGAGAAATTCCAAATCTGGCGCGCACCATTTTATAACTTTTTACGCATGCGTGCACATGCGCATTGTACTTTTATGCGCATGGGTATTACCGCTGAGAGATCACGTGACTATATCATATTTAGCTAGCGCGAGTTATTTTGTAGCAAATTTTTACTTTCGAAAGTCACGAGATCTCGCGTGACCTAAAATGGCTGGAATCTAAATTCAAAAGTTTTGTTGTCTACAAGAACATTGATTTACTACAACAACAGACTGTTGAAGGAACAAAATAAGGTAACAACAAATAAATTATGTATTGATTCAAATATATAGCGTATTATAAACGCTACTCAGTACAGCGTTTAGTCAAAATGGGCTCGATTTATTCTTTTCAAGTTCACATACATCCAACTTCCCAGAGCTGACTTCTGTCAGCTCGGTAGAGTAAACTAGGAGTTATGGACAACAATGTTTTTTTCGATAAGCTTTGAATATCAACAGAGGGATTATTCAATCAGATTTTTAACAAAATAATTGAGAATGAAATTTAATTTCTTACAAATGAATACATTTCCAACGCAAACTGACCAACACGATAAATATGATTCACCTGTAATTATTTCAAAAGTGGGTTGGGTTCCAATATTATAGTACAGTTGGGGACATAAATAAATGACAGGTGGATTTGCTGAAGTGAGGATTTCCCATGTTAAAAATAAGAGAATTTACAAGAGGCCATACATCAGTGGATGAGATTATACGAAATGTAAAATATACAAATTTTAAGGGATATATATCTAGACAATATTGGAAATTATGGGCTTTCAGACCACCATAATTAGGAAATGGTGATCGAAAATCGACCTGTCATTTATTTTTGTCCCCAACTGTAAAAATAAATGTCCAATAATTTCGTCAAAGATAGCCGTATATAGCCCTAACAATTTTAGAATAAAATATGCAGAATCACTTACCGATTGTCCATAAACACTTTGGTATGTTTATTTATTTATTCGTGAGTCAGATCTCGGCATAGTAGTGGAATAACTCAACATATATTTTCATTCATTTTTCGGACACCTGTTATAGTCTCAGTACAAAACGTTTTTGAAATACTTTTGATTTTTCTTTGAGATTATTTCCCAGCATGCTCGTCGTTAAGTCAGCCATATTGAATGTTTACATGTTGATGTGTGAAATTCTTTGAGTTTTGTACCAAATTGTGAGCTCATTGTCCAAATTTAAGATGACAGAGGTACAGCCAGTCGAAGAGGAAGTCATACCAAATACATATGTCATAAGACCAAACTTCCAGCATAAGTGAGTATACTTGATTATTGAGCCTAAAGATATGGTTATATTTTTTTAACTTTTGAACTGAACACAAACAGAACAGGTTTTTATTTAGTTTCCTTTGATCTTTGGAGGTAACTGTGGCATTGTCATGCAACATGCTCTTGAGCAAGGCCAGTCAGAGACTGGTGAACATCCTATATTGAAGTATAAGGTGTGTGTCTGTGTTACGGTATTGCCTCAAAGAAAACAGAAAGTGAGAAATGCTCCATGTTTGGAGCTCCAAACAATGCATATTTCCCAATGGGTGAGGCTTGTCATTTATCCCGTTCCCGGACTATGGTCCTGTACTGAGCCCATACATTTGCCTGTACGATTACAACTTGGGAGAATTTTTTACTGATCTTACACTTCAGATACCTACTTCAATAGATTCCTTGGTAATTTAGCATTCTTTTTGTGTAGTTGAATCCACAATTGTCTGGGTTTATTGGCAGAACGAAGACATTTTCGTTTTTGATCGCAATATTTGCGTGTAACATTTAACTTATTTCAACCGTCAAATTCCTCCATATTGGTACTTCCGGGCTACATCCGGGACAGCCAAACGGGGGATTCCCCTTTTAAATCCAACCGCCATTTTGAAAAGTGATGGAATCTCTCTCGATGAAAAAGAGAAAATGTTCCTGTTCTGCCGATATACCCAGACAATCGGCGGTTCCAATATATTAGAAGTTACATCTTGAGTTCTATAATGCATTGAGGTAGGTATCTTAAGTGTAAGGGGCGTAGATAATTCTCCCAAGTTGTAATCGTACAGGCAAATGAATGCGCTCAGTGCAGGACTATAGTCCGGGAACGGGATAACTTGTCATCACCTCTCAAAATTTCTAGAAATTATAGAAATTTTGGTGAGTCAATGTGAAATTGTTGAGATTTGATTGGCAAATGAATTATAACAGCCCTTATTTTTGATTGGCGAGTTGAGATGAGGGGTACGAAAGATTTAATAGGTACCAGACAATGAGATGACAGAAGGTACATGTAGTGCCTAATAGTAATATGGAGAAGAATGTCCTCTTTTCCTAACTTTTGATGGCTGTGATAGTTAGGATAATATTCTTAAGACTTCAACTTCAGGAATTATCATCCTCTATTAATTATTATCCAAATGACCTACACAGTCAAAAATTACTGTAGGACCTTATTCCCAGAAGGACATTTATTAATTCTTATTTACACCTGATCTAGCTGGTTTTGGTCTGAGATGATAGATGGCGTATGTGTGCCAGTAGAGGCATCTATTAAATTTAGGCAAAATCAGATAACCAGCATTTGAGCTTACAAAATTCCATTTTAGTTTTACATCAGTTTATTCAATCTTCAGAAAAGATTCTACCACATGAAACAAAAATGCCACCCACCCACATAATGTTGCATTACTTTTTTGTCTGCATAATTTTGACTTGTTCTTTTGCACACTTAAACTAGACTCCATGGAGGAACACCACTCAACCAGAAGAAGCTCAGATGTTCCTTTATAAGCTTTACAAAATGTGTCATTTATCCCTTTGCAGGCACACCGTGGATTACACACAAAAAAATACCACCTTCCTTTTGTAACATAATTTTGTAAATACTGATTTTATCAATGAAAACTATATCATTTTGTTCTTAATTAAATGGACTTTCTTTTCATGGAAGTACATGTAAAAGTCATTAGTATTTACAAAGTTATGTTACAAAAGGTGTGTGTCATTTGTGTGTAGAATACAGATGTGCCTACTAAGGAATAGACGACATTCAGAACACATCTTGTAACACTCATAAAAGTGCTTCCAGTGGAGCTAGTCATCTGACACTTCTTGTGGAGAGCCAGGTTTTAATGCTAATGAACAATTCTGATACCATACAGACAAAACAGTTATGTGATTCTTAGACATCAGCATTCAGCATATAAAATTTGCACCAAATCCATCCATTGATATTTGAGTTATGAAAGATTATATTTTTACGAAAAAGGCAGCTTATAACTGGATGAATTGCTAGACAGGGAGTTTGAGTTCAACCCCCCCTCCTCCTTCTTTCAAAATCATGCAGTTTTTCACCATTATGAGCACTTTTCGGGTGATTTTGGGCCAAACCTGTCAATAGTCTGATAATGAACCTCCTGGAATGTTTTGAAAAGTGAATACCCTTGGAAAAAGCTGGCTACAGGCCTGAAATTAAGATGTAAAGATACAATCATACAATGTACTATATTACTGAAAACACCAGGCAGTTATTTGGTAATGTAGGAAAACAACAATCCATTCAATAAAAATAAAATACATTATAAAAATTGCTTTCATTTTTTGTTCTATTAATAATTGTGCAATACACATCTAAAATTATACTAATCAGTATTAATTACTAATTGTTGGTTATTTTCATGCAAAATAGCAATGTAGAAAGATGCAACCATGGTGTCATTGACAAGATAAAACACTTAAAGTAAAAAATATCAAAAAACATTTAAATGGGAACCATGGTAGCAATGAACAAGAAAGATAAAATATTTGCATGTTATGGGAGATCAAGATAGAGACAGAAGTCACTAGGGGAGTTGTTACATATCATAAGATTGATTGCTAATGACAGACACTGACATTGACAACACACAAACACTTTATGTTTTTCCCTATCTGCCTTCACATTTTTTGCATTTGCCTGCTAGATGTCAATGCATTTAACTCTCATCAGCAAGTGTACATTGTTATTTGAACACTTTCTTAAGGTGGAGTCAATGCAGAAGCTTCTTATGAGAGGTATTACTTGGGTTAACATATTTATCTTACATCCATCCTAAGAGATTGACAACAAAAAAGGAAAGACATGTTATGGAAATGTACTTGGAATTCAGGGCCTTAAAAAGCTTGTTGTCCATGTTGAAACTAAGAGGTAGATGTCACTTGTACGAGGATTGTCTCATGAGTTCTGAAAAAATTGTTCTTTTCATTATTATTAATCAATGATAAGATTACACCTTTGCTTTAAATATTCTATATAATGAACCTATTGTCTCATAAGTTCTGAAAAATTGTTCTTTTCATTATTATTAATCAATGATAAGATTACATCTTATAATGATCAGAAGTTGTATTAACATTGTGCTGATAAAATCTCAGCTTTGGATACATAAAACTCTTAGTTTTAGAATATAAATTTAGTTCAGGATTTTTGGGACAACCCTCGTACATTGTGCAGGCTTGCTGAAATATGGTAAAATTGTGCTTAAAAATATAAATAGAGGATGTTCTTTTTATTCCATAGTTAAAGTCATCATCAGAATCGTCGGAAATTAAGTTATTTAATTCGAATTTTCCAACGATCCGGCGATGTTGACACTTAGCCTCGTTTTGAGTCTGAAGTAGCAAAATCTATTAACCATCGCATACGACGCCGTATGTCATGGCTAAAAAACCGTATGCTATGGTTAAGTGAAAATTTGTCAAAAATATCATATTTTACCACTGATTACAAAAATACCGTTTTTATTTTCACATGTTATCCTATGAATATCATGCTAACTATGGAATAAAACATGGCATATTATCCTAATTTATATTTTATAACCAATATTGTGCCTTGTGTAACATGGAACAAATTAGAATGATTCAATGCTCTTTAATTTGGCAATTTCACCATCTTATAAAACATTATTATTGAATATTTATTTGAAGATATGTCACCAAGCAATTCACAAACCTTCAAGTAATCTTATAGGTTACATATAAATAAAGTATATAACTTTCACGTTTATTGAGATAAATTACAAAAAGGTTGATAAACACAAGTTTATAACTTTTGACAGGGGTCAGGTATAAAGTTTAAGTAAAGTTAGAATCTACATGTAAGATAGCTGTGAACACATTTTAAAAGTTTAAACAATTTAGATTCTTTTTGACTCATACAAGTAACAGTATTATTCCTTGACATGTATTAAATAAATGTCATTTTTAAAAGTTCATACCTAATTCAATTCAGGGATTATATATTCCAACATGTATAATATCAATAAAGGGATTATTAGCATTTATAATTTCTATATTGTAATCTCGATACACCCCTGTTTAATATGATCATAACATTTTGATAAGTCGTTCCTTAATGTGTGTTTTAACATATGCTCATGCCAGGTGCTTTTTCTCAAAATACAATAAACTCAGGGCTCATCTCAAAAATCAGTGAACAGTATTCAGGGGTTTCACTATAATTTCTCACAACAGGCTTTGAAAACAACAGGCAAAATTAATGGAAATCATAAATTTAACATGGAAAAGTTGAAAATTCCCTAAAAATAACAGACGATTTTGTGAAAACAACTGGTGAAAATTGCCTGCTGCTAATGAAACCCCTAAGTATTATAAAGTTCATGTATATCTAATTATTTGATCACAACATATCTTATTCAAGTTTCAGGTTTATGAGAATTCTGTAGGATTGTGTATGTCATGAAAAGAAATTTAAGTTCCTTATTTTAGCTTGGCTTTTAAATGTTTTTAGCTCAAATGTTCTCTCAATGAAATGTTTTATTGTCCAAATGTTTTATTGTTAAAATGTTTTGTAGTTCAAATTTTTATTGTTCACATGTTTGATCCGTCAAATGTTTAATTGTTCAAATGTTATATTGTTTAAATTTTTATTTTAATCAAATGTTTTATTGTTCAAATGTGTTCACTCTACCCTACCCCCATACTGTAGCCTGTATTTCTTTAACATGTTTAAAAGGGATACAGGCTGCATTGAAGTTGCAAATTGAGGTATACTAGATTTTACATATTTTCCAAGTGTTCTTTTATACATTGTGTAGATTCATTGAGCAGTTTGCATTGTATTATTTCCAAAAAATGTCTTTAGGAAGCACTGTGTTAGAAAGATAATTATTACCACCTTGCTGGGCCAGTTCTAGGGGTTTTAGTGCTAGTTTAGAAGGCGTTCATTTTACTATATCGACCTGAGCAATATGTGACGTCATAGTGGTGGTCAAGAATGCATTTAACGACCGGTCGAAAATGCAATTAACGACCGGTCGAGAATGCATTTAATGACCGGTCGAGAATGCATTTAACGACTGGTCGAGAATGCATTTAACGATCGACCGGGAAATTAGTGAAATATTGGACCGAGGGCCGAAGGGCCAAAGCCCTTCGAAATGACGTTATTCTACTATTAAGGGCCTGGGATATAAAACTACAATAAGCTGAAAATCCTATGGTGAAAACTTTGAGATGGTACCTTAACTTAAGATAAATACTATTTCTACAGCTAGATTCCAAGGTTGTAAAATTAGAACCACAGTTGTACCTGAGCTAAAGCTAACAATGTTTTGTCTAATAAGTTAGTTACTTAGTTGAAATGGATGTGGAAAAAACATAGTACATGAAAGAAAAGAATCAGGATCTTACTAATTTTTGTTTATCCAGGAATATACTATTCAAGTAAACAAATCAAAAAAGAATCTGGATTTTACTAAAAAATATCATGCTACATTGAATAATTTTGTTCATCAGGGAGTATATGAAAGAAAAAGATCTGAATTTTACTAATTTTGGGAAACATTAATTGTTCATTAAAATTTCAATTGTTTATTCAGAAATGTATCTATTTCATTGCAAAACAGGGTAAATTGCTTCTTTTTCAAAATGCTTCATAAATTTGCTTAAATGCTTCATAACGAAGCAATTTACTCTGTTGTGTAATAGAACTTAGGCACCATTGAAATAAACATATTAACAATCTGAACACTGACATACCAATACGATGTCAGCTTGACATCACAACCCATGTCATTTAATCTGAAATTATCATCCTACTATTTACATTCAGGTATTGATCTTTTCTTATTATCAGTTGTTCATGATCAATATAAAAACTAAAGCATTCATAACAAAGAACACGCTGGAGTTGTAAGGTTGATTATAAAAACATATTGATGGGGATATATTGCAAACTGAGTGGATATAAAACACTGTAGGAGCTACTGTAGCAACTATTTATTTTTGAACTGGAAATATTCATCGACATTGAATACTCATCTACATTGGATATTCAGTACTTACTGTTATTGAATACTTAGTACAGGTTGACATTGAAAAGTACTCACTGACATTGGATACTCACTAGCATTCTACTAAATTTTCTTAATTTGGATTGAACAATTAGATTGGATGTCCAGAGATGGCTGATTTCAAAAATCCAACAGTAAATGCTAGTAGTGGTAAACAGATGGACAGTGATAGTAACTCAATTGACGATTTAAAAAGTAAAGTAATTGAGAAGAAAGCAATGGAAGGTGAAAGTAAAACAATGGAGATTTGTGGTGAAACATATAGTCTTGTAGACTCAGATGTTAGAATGGTGGACTATAATGCGTATAAACCTAGAATAGAAGGCCTACCTCTGCCTAGAACTATAAACTTCTTGTAAGTCTAAAAGTCTGAGAAAACTTCATCCTGCAATGGAGAATAAACTGAAAGAAATATTATTGGGCAAATAACGTTTCATTATTTCAGTAATATATGTAAAATAGTGAAATGTGTCTAATCTGAATATCACTGGAGTCAGCCAAAAGTGTTCATATTGGCAGGTGTTCACATTTTAAAGTTTTTAACATGAAATGATAATAAGATTTTAATGGCAAATAATTGTTGTGTTCTAAATAAATTCATCTGGTTATTCCTACTAAATTAAAGTTAAAAAGGTATGGTTAAGACATAATGAAAATATAATATTAATTGTTTTCTCATTCTATTTGCAGATTTCGTCCTATAATAGTGAAAGAGCTGATACATAATGTCCTTGCGGAGAACCTAACAGGAAGGGAATATGTGGGAGAAGAGACAACAGATTGGTGTAAAACTATATCAGATGAAATTAAAGTCAGATTAAAAGGTAAATCTAGAACTGATTCAATTAAATGATGGATAATATATGTACAGATGTACATGTACATGTAATGGCAATATTGATGTTGTTCCACTGGTGCATGTATATATATGTACTCATATATTCTTGCTGTAAGTGTCTGAAGTATGTTATGCTAATCAAAGGGGAGGGGAAATTTTCTGCCCACCCTGTAGAAGATCCAAGGATATTATTTTTGATTATCGTTAAGTGCAAAGGGCAACATCTTGAAAAACAATTCACCCAAAGCAAAACCAATTATCAAATCTGCATGATGTAGTAAAACAAATAAAATAAGCTTTTTGAAAATCTGTGTGCTTGAGATCATGGCAAAGGATATTTGGTTATATATTTAAATAAAATGAGAGCATTGTGTCAGTTTGAAAAAATCACAGATATTACACAAGCTAACAACATGCCATTTTAATTTTGTACTTGAATTCTCGCAACAGAGTTGGACATTGATCCAAGGTATAAACTGGCTGTACAGGTTGTTATAGGAGAGTCCTGGTGTGGGGCAAAGTAAGAGGCAATCTGAAAGCTATATATTCAAAATTTCACTGTTCAATAAGTGTTTAGTTTGCACGACAGTGTCCTCCCAGCATTTGAAGCAGGCAGGCTATTCACTCATTTGAGATTTAGACAATGAACAGAAATCATGAAAATTGGCACATTTTGACAAATGTTGATCAAAATTGTGACGTGTTTACCCAATTGTTGAAAATAAATTCTGGGGAGATTACTGCAACGAATACATATTCCACCTGTTTATTAATGTTATTCAATTAATAAGGATTATTTATATTTTATTTTTATTTTCCATCAATGATTTTTTTCTATTTTATTAATTTAGTTGCTTTTTGTTGTTTCTTAATTCCAGACATAGGCTATGATAGATATAAGTTTATAGTCCAAGTGGTTATAGGAGAACAGAGAGGGGAGGGGGTAAAGTAAGTTTGTTTTTTATTATTTTTATATTTATTTCATGGCTGTAAATGTAAAATATATTTAGACAGGGTGTTCCAAAAGTAGGTTCACAGTTTGCAGAGATTGTTAAATAACTGTCAACCCACTCTTGGGCCACCCATTATATAGGCCAATCTTTGGATAAAATATTATGAATACATGTACATGACAAATATTTAGGACTTTTAGTGAGGTTCTAATATCTGAACACCTGTCAATTTGAACACTGTTTTTCTGTCCCATCTTTTAATCTGCCATATACCATATATATATTCGCATGATAAAAAACTTTGAATATGAACCAATCCAAACACTTTTGGTTAGTCCCAGTGGGATTTGGATTAGACAGGTTTTACTGTATTTGTGTCATGACAGTATTATGGCCTTGAGATATACTTAACATACAAACAGTCAGGTTCATATTGCATGTACAATTAAACTTTAACTTTTAAGTGACATTTTAATGTATTTTATCAAATGGTGTTCAAAAGGATTAACTAAAAAGGTTAAAAAGGAATTTAGGACAAAGCTTTTAGGGAAATATATTTATTTTCCAAACACTTGAAAAATGGCAAGAACATTTAAAGTTAGGCCAAATTGACCTAGGCCTAAAACATCAGTGAAAAGTAATAGAGAATATGGTGTCAGGGCTAAAGAAAAATAAGGCCCAAATATTGCTAAATTATTTATTCTACTCTACCTACCTTAGTTAATTCATCAAAACTTCATACATCAAATTAAGGTGGTCTTTGTTTGAGGACTTTTGAACAAGGGATACTCAGAGGGGATCAGTGCTGAAATGATTCATAATATGATACAGTACGCTTCATTATGTTTCTAACATAACACTTTGAAATTATCCATCCAGAATGTTTTTGAAAATAAAAGGACTTAAGGTAGTACTTCACAGTGTATCATCTTTTTTCTATAATTCAGATTTTCTTGAAAAAAATCTTGGTAAAATTTTTTTGAAAATAAAAGGACTTCAATTTATTTGCTCTTCATCATGGATTTAAATTTTGTTCAACTTTAATCACAAAAGATGTGCTGAGCTCTAAAAAAGTAAAATTTTCAAGGTCAAAGGTCAAGGCCATCAAACTTGGTCACAAACTGTGCTACCTAAGTTTCTCAAAGTTGGACGCTACAAATTAATATTTTCAGTTAAGACAGGATATACATTCCTCTAAAAGTTCTACACTGTGTGAGAACAGGGCCGTGAGGCCTTCATTTAAATTGAAAATCACAATTATTGTCGAAATATTCACTTCCAATACTGATAATATTTTAATAAGCAGTTAGAATGAAAGAAATTATTAGAAATGAAAATTCAGAAATATTGTTTTTTGTAAAATATTGAGTTAAAATTGAATGTACTAATATAATATCAATTTTTTTTTTATTTCAGGATGGGCTGTAGGTGTTTCTGGGATTCTGATACAGATAACTACGCTCAAGACATCTTTATGAATGTGAGTGAACTAATCGTACATTTCCAAGCTGCATATCCAAATTCAACTGATGGCTGTCAGCTGACGATTTGATTGCTATATTATGGCTAACCCAATTCATATTAAATGAAAATAGCAATGAAATCATCAGTTGACAGCCAGCAGTTGATACCAATGAATACTAGCTAAACTTGGAATGTGAATTGAGTATTGTGAGCAAAAAGTTGGATCTGTGAAAAATGTTCACTTGAAACTTTTGTAGGGCCTTTGTATTTAAAAATCATGATTTTGTAAACTTACTATGAAAACAACCATTTTGAATTGATAAAAATTGTATTGTTAGATTACTCTAACTAAAAAAGCCAGATGTTGGTTGAAAAACAAGTGCAGGCACACATGATTTTTAAGATCTATTTCTGGAGCAAATGAATTTCAATATGGTCAAAAATGATTTACTTTTTTGTTTCAGGATTCATTATTCTGTGTGGCAGCTGCATATGGAGTCTTTTATTACTAGATGCAACACAACAACATGGATAGTCTCTCAACATGGATATTCTTACAACATGGATAGTCTCACAATTTGGATAGTCTTACATCATTGAAAGTTGCACAATATGGATTGTCTCACAACATGGATAGTCTCACAACATGGATAGTCTCCCAACATGGATAGTCTCCCAACATGGATAGTCTCACAATATGGATAGTCTCCCAACATGGATAGTCTCACAATATGGGTAGTCTCACAATTTGGATAGTGTTACAACATTGGAAGTTGCACATAATGGATAGTCTTACAACATTGAGAATAGATATTCTCACAATTTGGACACATGTCAAACAACCTTGTTACAAGTCAAGCAATATAGATGCAAGTCAGACAACATGAATGTACTACTTACAACACCAGTGTCTCAACTAAGGGATCCATCACAATGTCACTTTCAGACAAAGATATATTTCCTGTTGTAATGATTATACCAGTTTTGATACTACTGTACTAAAATACATATTCCTGGCTTAAGTCTAAGTCATTAGATATTGGGTACTTCTTTGTGAACATGAAAAATCAGGGGCACATTTATTAATTCATGTACCATCCAATGTGAAATTCAAATCACCCAATATCAGTATTTTATACCACCAAAGTTCAATTCATTCCAACGTAATTAAAAGCAAAAACCAGGTCCAACAATATATGCATATTTGACAAACTTGTAGTCTCTAAAATTTAGAATGTGTATTAAACTGATTTACAATCAATTCTAATCTATTTATCTGGTCTCTTTTTAACAATCTGTGATACTAAAATGACTGGGTAACCAAAGAAATAAGTCTAAACAAAACAAAAATAAATATCATCTCATTTATTTATTGTATATATTGTAAATAATGAAAATCTAAGTCTATGATGTAAATAAATTACATATTGTATATAAAGTATTTGTATTATTTCATTGCAAAACATAATCAAATTAATCATATAGCCCATGGGAATTTTGTCTGAAATATACACATAATATTCCACATGTCCAGGGCATTTTAATTTAGAAACTATTTAGGCAAAGACCATGTAAATGCTGCAAGAAGGGCATATCATGCTAGCAAGGCATGAGGTAGTTGAGGCAAAAGCCTCACTAAATCTACATAGAAACATATTGAGACATTTTGAACAGAATCGTTGTAATGAAGGCCAATCCAAAAGTAGAAATGCACCTCATTCAGCTTAACTTTGCTTCACCCATTTACATTTGACTCACCAAAGCTTTAAAAAACATATTCAGACATTTTTTCAAACAGAATTGAATTACCGGGGGTAATCCGATTCAAAATTAGAAACATACTTCATTCAGCTTAAATTTGCCTCACCTATTTAAATTTGCCTCACCTGATTTTTACCTCAGCTACATATTTGCTGTGATTCATTTATTTACTTGATTCTTCTTTGATGTGTTGAAACCTGTCTTTCCTTCTGAATGTCAACAAGCCCATAATAATAGAGACCGCAGCCAGTGCAATAGTATACCCTAATATGGTATACAGAAAGCTCAATGGACCATAATACTCAAACAAATACCCTGTTAACCATTGAAAAACCATCCCTCCTACGCTTTGACCAACAAATGTCATTGCTGTTACCAAACCTGTTTGCTCCAAGTAAAGATTCACCCAGGCAATGCCGGATGGGAAAACAGGCGCATTGACAATTCCAAATGCACCAGTAAACACCCACAAAATGGTTATATTTGTGTTACCCCAAATATTGAGCACCACCCCTACCACTACATTTGCAATAATCTCAATCAACAGCATCAATTTGGGTGGGCAAAACTTTGCGACAATTATCGCCAATCCTCGTCCAACCATAAAGCTCGACCAAAAAATTGTCTCAATGACAGTTGCTTCACTTTTTGTTGCCATTTTCGTATCTGTAGCATATGAAAATACAAATTTCCCATAAACACGTTCCCCACCTATTGCTATACCAGAAAACAAGAAAATCAAAAAGAGCATTTGAATTCCAAAGGCTTTGTGACCTTGCGTGCACTTCTCTGTTGAGAACATTTCTCTTAATGTTGTTGACTTTTCATCTATTTCTCTTAATGTTGTTGACTTTTCATCTTGACCTTCATGATCAAGGTCATACTCTGTATTTGAACGCTTTCGAGATACAAAATAATATCCCATAAAAATAAAGGAAAATATTATAGTCACAATCCCAACAATGGAGTAGGGCACCTCAATTCTGGCATCATTAACTGTGAAATTCCCTGTGGGTATTACCATTGTAGAATTCCATGTGGGTATTACCATTGTAGAATTCCATGTTGGTATTACCATTGTAGAATTCACTGTTACAGTTGTGTTATAATCAATGCTCTCTGGTGTTGATGAGAGAAATGGTCTCACGATCTGTGGTACGATTGTGGCTCCAATGCCAAAAGCGAAGTGTAGGGAATGCACAGGAGGCCCAGATGACTCACCCCACATATTGATCACAAGGGCTTGACCAACTGGAATACAATAAATGAAAAAATAGCCTTTTCTTATATCAAGGGTACACCCCCAATCTGCAAAATCTTGCAGCGCTGTAAACACTACTGAACAGTGCAGTTGTACAGCGATGTACAGTGCTATTCTATCATCACCTGTTTTGAACAGTGTAGTACAGTACTGTTTTTACAGTACTGTTTTTGAAAACAGCGATGTACAGTACTATTTTTACAGCGCTGTCCAGCGCTGTTTCATAAACAGCACTGTTTGATGCAGTTTGAGATTGGCAGTGTAGAGTTTCCAATATAAAGCAGGTAGCTGCCACACCAAAATTGTTTTGAAAAAATATTTCTAGACATTTCTCAACTGAAACTCAAAATTATGTTCCTCAGTAGTAAATGTTTACAGGGACTCATCTGGTAATTAAATAAAATAATGTAACAGTGGCCATGCCTTGTGGCATTCACCCTGAAATCAATGACTTACTTGTTCCTAAGCAACCCTGGCCTAGACCTTGGAGATGAAACATGCACCCTAGCAACCATAAAGCACTACACCATGGTGCTATACATGTCCCTACGCCAGAAAGGATAAATGAACTTGCTAGGAAAATATCCAGTTTATCTCGATATCTGGAAAATAAAGGATATTTCTCATTACATGTAATGTATGATATCAATTTGGGGTTCAGACTTAAATATTGAGAAGAGGTATTGAGAATATGTTTTGATACCAAAAGGTGATACCATTTCTGTGTGGATTATAATAACTATGAAAACTGGACTTGGCCTAGTCATCTACCTTATGTTGCTGCCATTACTCAACAGCAGCATTTCTTACACCTTACCTGTCACATAGAAAACCTCCTGCCAGAGATCCAATGAAAAAACCTACACTTCTAGCAAACAAAGCTCGAGCTATTTCTTCATAATTACTGTTCACCCTGTATTTTAAGTCCTGTAGTGTTGGTCCTACTATCTCCAGGTACATGCCCTGAAATGGATACCCTGTAGTGAATTACTAGGACATGTACCACTAGAAAATATCAAATTATTTTTCTGCATGGAATCCAGGGGAAGGATTGGAAGTTGACTATGCAACCCATACACATACTGTAGGGCAGTTTTAATATATGGCCTAGTTTTTTTTAAAAAGACAGTACATATGTATCTTTAATTTTTTGCCACCTGAATGTATTTATTAATTAACCCACATTGATAAATTGTGATAATTTATTCCACATAAGGATATTTTATCCCACTTACCATTGCAATCCAGCTTAAGAAGACACATATTGTCTTCACAAGTTTGAAGTAAAAATCTGGACTTCTTTCTCTCTTGTATCCGGTAGCCTCATCTGTCTTCTTATAAGTGAGTGCCTCTAGCTCTTTAATTTCTCTATCCTCAAGCTCCTTAGTTCCTGCACCTACAAGCTCCTTAAAATTACCATTTTGAAATTTATTTTCAGCACCTTCAATCTGCTTATTTCCTGCACCATCTTTTTCAATTTCACTTGGATCAACCCTTTTTCTCTCCATTATAGCTGATCTATAATGGTAGATTTAAGATATTCAAAACTTTGGAGCTAAGATTACAAGTAGTCTGTCAAACTGAAGAACTGCCCTTTCTGTTTCTAGCTGTTTTTATGTTATTGACCTCATATGTCCATGTTAAGTGAATACCCTGGGGTCATCCCTTTTACTACGGCTCTAATTAAGACCAATCTTGGGACTTTAAACTTACTGACTACAGAGCACAAAAAGATACAACTGTGCTGGATAACATGTATTTACAAAATATGAACCATATCTTTACAGTCAGATGAAATGCTCCCATTGGACCGGTGTATTAAAATAATTATCTGTAACATTGGTGCCAAACAGAGTTGACTACACATCTTGAAAAGGGTAATAAGTGATGAAAGTTAAGACATCTTTACATGTGTAAAGCCTTGCAATTTATTTAAGCAATTTGCCAACTGTTCCGCGCGAATACAGTATATTAATATAAAAACGGCACTGTTGCATAATATGTCTGCATGTAGGCTGTATTAGTAATTTTTCGTTATTTCAATATATAGCATAAATAGAACAAAAATGGTCACATAATATGGGTTTTTACAAGGGAATCAAACAAAGTTTTTGTTTTAACAATGAAAACAATCTGAACCACCTTTCAATTTAATTTGAGGAACGTGAGGGAATAATGGTGACACTGTTCTCAAGGAACAAGTGACGATTCACAGGATTCAAATTGCTCATCAAGTGGACAATGTATCATGCATGCTCTTGTTTGAGTTGTTGCGTCTTCATATTAGATATACAATTTGCCTATTTTGTAATAATTGGATGTGTGTCGTTTGTTTACTTATTTTTGAATCTTCAACTTCAAGTATTATGTTCTCTAAAAACAGACTATAAACATTAAATTGACATGTGACACATTGCGTTCATTCTTAAACTTGTTAAAAGTGCCATATGTGTCAAAGACATTGTCTTTATTTCTGAACATGTAAATGTGACATATATCAAACACGATGTCTTTATCCTTGAACTTGTTGAATTTGTTATTTCGTTCACATGTAGTTGTATACATATATGAATTAACAATAAGTATACCCAGCAATGGCATTTTAATATATCAGACAAAAACATACAGTTACAAAAAGTTGAGATTTTTTTGAAGAGCAATTACAAGTTTTTGAGTTTGTGACCTATCATTTTCATTTTCTTAATTTACATCTTGGTCAGATTTCGACATAACTACATGTACTACTATTGTTACCTTATGTGGGGATCAAAATGTGTTCTAGCTTTAAGTAAAAAATTTCAAAATTAATATTACAGTATATCCACAATTAGAAAAAACCTCCACGAGTGGACGTTTATGATTATGCTTTGTCAGGAATAGGTCATGGGCTGGGACTAAGCTGTTGAGATTTTCAATACTTGTAATCACTGGTATGATCCAGGACTGAGCATCTCGATGTAATCGCTAGCAATGGAGAAATCAAACATTACGTGTTACATTATAGAAAGATGGTAAAGCTTACTCACTTCGAGAGCCATGTTAGATTTTGAAACTTATGGCTCTCAAACGGAGAAGTGAACAGCTGATCAATAGTGACCTTTGAAATTGAATTAAGTCGATCCGCGGCTTACTTTTGGTCTCTAACTGTGTCTTACATCAGTATCATCAATCCGTGTAAGTATTGGAGCGCTGGAGTACTTCTTTTTCGATCAAGACTTGTAAATTGTTCATCGAGTTAAAGTTTTACAGACCTATTTCCAATATGGCGGTTTGCTAGGTGCGAGATACGCAACGAACGAAATGAATTTTGAGAATTAGTTAGGTTCGGACAACCTCCGGAGATTTACGAAAATGTCCGAGCAGAAACCGCCATATTGGAATTTGGCAGTAAAACGATTCACTCGACTAACAATTACAAGTCTTGATCGAAAAAGAAGTACTCCAGCGCTCCAATACTTACACGGATTGATGATACTGATGTAAGACACAGTTAGAGACCAAAAGTAAGCCGCGGATCGACTTAATTCGATTTCAAAGGTCACGATCATTGAGCTGTCCAAATGCTCCGTGGGAAAGCTATTATAACAAAATCCAAATAGCTTTCGCAGGAAGTAAGGTAAAGCCATTCGACAGACCGATGTGCATGTTTGCATTGTGATTTAAAACAGTTAGCCACACTTGTCCGCCGATTGCACACAAGGGTGCTTTAAAAAGCAATTGCCTTCGGATTTAAGATTGAGTTTCATTCTGGAGTCAAGTATAAAAAACTAAGAAGGACCTAAAACTCCTAACAGGCCAGACAAAAAACAATAAACTCGTACAACTAGATTTTCAATTTGTAATCGGGAGGTTGTGGGTTCGATTCCCACCAGGGTGGAGTGTCTTTTTCACATCAGCCCTTAGCATAGGATTTGATCCTATGTTTTCAGATTAACAACGGCCTCCTAATATACAATTGAGGTAATATCACAATACATAGACATAAGGCACAGAAAAACTAACAAATGTGTAGGCCTATAACCAAGGAGGATTGGCTCCCAGAGTGCAACATCAATATTCTGTCCCATATATGAGCCGCCATTTTGTTCACTTCAACATTTGAATGTGAATTTTGGTGTTATTTTCTAACTAAAAATTCCAAAACTCACAAGAAATGAACGAGATATTGGTTCGAATCTTTTGAAATGTTCATTTTGAATTTACAGTCGGTCGTAATTTCAGAAAATAACGACATTTCGACGTTTTCATTGTTGGAAAATATCGAGCTTGGATCCTGGGAGCCATTCCTTCTTTGCCTATAACATTTTCAATTTGAAAGATAACATACGTGTAATATATGATATTCTATGACTGCATGACAAAAATTGTCAGATTACTTGTCCGATTAATTTTTTATTGGTTATTAAATCGATCTGAACACTGATAATAGCTCAATTTAATAATAAACAACGTTATTATTTCAATTCTCATTTCATCCCAATTTGTCATGTACAATGTATATACACTGTTTCACATACATGTGTAATATTTTCTGTTCTACCATTCAATATCCTCAATTTCAACGTTTTCTCTTTTAATTATGCATGGCTGAAATAAAGTCTGATGGTCTGCTCAAAATTAAGCTGAAAACAATGGATCGCATGACTTTACTCAAAGGGAAATTAACATGAGAAATATTGTTTTCCACTTTATCCCAAAATGAATGACTATTCATTTATCACAATCTTCCATGACACTGAAAACCATATACTTCTTATCATTGCCTGTTGAATATACCTATTTTGAAAGTATTTCTGAAGTATCATTTTTACCCTTTTCATCCATTTTCCCAAGTGATATAAGGAATCACGTATAATGTAAAATACTACTTTACAAATGTGGAATCGCAGTTCACTATAAAAGGCTCCCTAATAATTAAAAAAATATGCAACTTCAAACGAATGAACGATGAGTTAACATCATGTGGTCACACCCGGTGATCGTGAATATGGGACGGAGGGGGGGAGCAGGCAATTTCTGCTAGGAAATTCAACAAATCTGGAAGATTTATTTTTTCAAGAAAAAGTTTACTATTGAATTGCTAAATGGATAGGCACACGGTATGGTAGAATATGTTAGGTTTTCTGGGATTTTTTCTGAAACGATACGCATCTAAGGTATGAGATCTATTAAAAAAGGCGCAAGGCCATCAACAGGCACAAATCAACGTTTTTGCTATAAATCAAGCAACAATGGTCTAGACGACCTGTAATAAATACTTGTAAGTGATGTTATCATAACTAAATTAATGTCATTGCTGAATTTATAAAATAAGTTTCCATATGTGAAATAAAAAATAATCGAAAATAATGAATTTGGGACGGAGGGGGGGAGGGGACGGAGGGGGGGAGCAATATGTATATAAGACATGATAAGAGATGTTTCGCGACTTTAAGTCCTTTTACTCCAAATGTCCCCATTTTTCAGTCTCCAGGGGTATATCATCCAGTTTCTTACTAAGTTAATGAGTTCATTTTTCAAATACAAGAATTCGTGTGAAGTTGTTTCACTTTATAGAATTATTACTCCCCCCCTCCGTCCCCTCCCCCCCTCCGTCCCATTTTAATTATTTTCGATTATTTTTTATTTTACGTATGGAAACTTATTTTATAAATTCAGCAATGACATTAATTTAGTTATGATAACATCACTTACAAGTATTTATTACAGGTCGTGTAGTCCATTGTTGCTTGATTTATAGCAAAAACTTAGACTTTTGCACGTTGGTTGCGTTGCGCCTTTTTTAATAGATCTTATATCTTAAAAGAGTATCGGTATAAAAATAATCCTAGAATACCTAACATATTTTATCATACCGTGCGCTTATTCAATTTGCAATTCAATCGTAAACTCTGTCTTGAAAAAATAATTTTACCAGATTTGTTGAATTTTCTAGCGGAAATTGCCTGCTCCCCCCCTCCGTCCCATTTTCACGATCACCGGGTGTGGTGGTAGGATTTTTTCATTTGAATGCTGGCAGTTGGCTGACTCGGTAACGCTCTACACAAGATGGGAAAGATCGCTTTAGGACTTCTAGTGTTGGTTAAGATCGCAGTGTCAATTCCTATTACAGGTACAGTTAGGGAAATTAACTTTCACTTGTGATTTTTCAAGAATTCAAAAAGGCCTATTAGGTCAGAAAAATAGTATGTCTCTGAAACGATGGCAATGCTGACGCCGCTCCTTGATACATTTTCATATTTTTTCAGACATCGATAATGCATACTTAGGGTGTTTTAAAGATGAAAAGGACAGAGATCTTCCTTACAAGGCGTACGAATCGAACGAAAACAATACTCCAAACTTGTGTATTGGAACGTGTTTTGAAGCAGGTAATTACACTGATTGGATGATCGATTGTGATTGTGAAAATTCGCCATAAAAATTATTGTTTTCTCGAAAACTTCGAATTCATCATGGATTAATGACACCATCTTTGAATAACATTCAATCTCCTTTTGGAGCTGAACTGAGGAGACGCGATGAATATAAATGTGTATACAGGGCAAACGCATACAACTCGTGGTCCTTTCATTAGTTTTTGATTTGTTTTGCAGGGTATATGTATGCTGGGCTTGTCTATGGACACAAGTGTTTTTGCGGCAATTCTTACGGAAGATATGGCTCGGTAGCAGAGACAGAGTGCAAAATGGAATGCCGCGGTGACCGGACACAGATTTGTGGCGATTATTTACGCTTGAGTATTTACAAAACATCTTTGGCCACCACGGCTGCACCAACACCAACACAAGCAGAAGGTACCCCAAAATAGTTTGGTAATCTCGACTCAGCATTGGATATGACGCATTGCCCTGTCTATGTTTTTGAGAGTTCAAAACGCGGTGTGCTCCGTGCGTTTATTCATTTGAGATTTTTCAACCAGATACGTATTCGAAAAAATTAAAAACACTGATTGAATGTCATGCTACATATATTTTCAAATACGATGTGTGCGCATATATAGTATTCTGGTAACATTTTGTTTTGCAATAACGAAAATATGATTATTTGAAAAATCTGAGAAGATCGTGTACTATAGTAGTTGATTTTCAAATTTTGCATAGAAAATGCCTGTGGATTCACAATGAGTAGCGCCGTAAGCATTCCATATGCGAGAGGCACGCGTACATTTGGAAGAGTGAAAATGGAGGTATTTTATGTAGACGCGAACTATGTCCCAGATTATACAGCCTTCCTTGAATGTTGTCCCAATGGGCCGATTTCAGTAGTTGCTGACGTGAGCGCCTTTAACTGCGACTCCTACTTGGACACCAGATCCCCCGATCTCAGCGTAACGTATACATTATGTACTGTTGATCCACTCGATTACGCTGGTTACGGAAACGGTTCGTTTCGGTAACAAAATGTCGGAACGTCAATTTCACTTTTCCTTATTTCACGCGTTGTAGGCAGAATCCCAACGGCATTTTTTCACGTGTATCAGTATCATATGTTTTAGAAAATGAACATGTTTGCGAAAAAATAGCTCAGAAGACAACAGAATCGTCGATTTAATTCCTCCCTTAAGTTACATAAACGGTTTGGGTTAAAAATGCAGATCTTAACTGTTTTCGAAATACCGTTCCCGTAACTTAAAGAGATCGGGTCTCCTAAAACACAATAAGAGTAACCCCCTGATTTTTTCGTGTTATTTGATGTAAAACAAGTTTGTTTATCAATTGCAACTTATCAATTCTGAGGCTTGAATTAATTCGTTAACAGTATCAAGTCGATGATATTGTTCCTAGCCATGAATTTCCACTTACATCAATAGAAATTAAAATTAAAATTTAAAAAGCCCGCTCAATATTTATTACTTCTAAGGGGTTACAAATCCCCAAAAAACATTGTATTCTGTTTTCGACTTGTTGCGTTCAGTTCTGACAGTTTGAAATAAGGAAAAAAGAAAAATCGTACCTTCGACGTTCCGACATTTTGTATACCGAAACGAGCCGTTTCGGTAACCAGCGTAATCGAGTGGATCACCAGTGATTATGGCTCGATCAAGGTAACCCAAGGGCGTTACAATACCCGGGAATTTATCGGTTCGTGCAGTACTTGTTTGTGATAGCGCCCTCTGTATGTCACTGTGCTTATAGCCTACAGTAATACGGGGTAGGATATCGGGAATTCGGCCAGTTTCTATCCGTCGATTACGCTATGAATTGAAGCAAGTGTTACCACTTTATCCACTTAAACAATTTGATAATTGATTAAATCTTTGAGTTGAACAAAATCGATAAACACGTTATACACTTCCTATCTCCTTAGAAATTAGCATGTATTTATGGATTGTGTTTTCGAACAAGGCTCGACCCATACCAATAGGGAAATCCTTATGCTAATTAGTATGACGTCATATTTTCCTGGGGAATCCTAGATTTCAAAGACTCAGTCTGTTATTGTGTCAAATGTAAACGCTCTTTTGCAGACAGAAAATTGACAGATTAGCTTTTAACTTTCAGCTTTGATGTTTAAATATTCTGTATTTCTACCGGACTTCTTGCTGAATATCATATAATGTTATAACTTGATTTGGACCATTGCCTGATTGATCATAGTGAAATTTTCAGATTGTGATTCATGATTGATTGGCAAGAAAAATAATTCCTATTGTTTTCCAGCAAAGTCAAAATGTTACAGCATGAGTTATAATGTCGAGTTTGCATCATGTTAAATTCTGCTAGTGATTAGAAGTCCATGCACAAGCACATAGACCGGGTGCTTTTCTGCAAAAGGTCTCTCTGTAAAACGTGGTAGGCGTTTAGTGTTAAAAGTGTTCTGACAAGTGTTTCTTATGTAACTTTTTATGCTGAATCCAAAAAACCATGTTGGCAAGCTAAAATATGATTATTTAACCCTTAAAATACCATGTTAGTCCCCCTACCCCCAAAATTCACCCCTATCAGGGGGAAAAAATTCTTCAACCTAAAATAACTTTGATTTTATGGTTTTTGTAAGTGAAATACATGGACATTGTATAAAATAAACATTTGAAGTATGAATGATACTGATTACCCTTAAGAAATTTGAATAAAAGCAAAAAGTATGTACCCCAGGGGGCAAATTTATGACCCATTTTTTACTTTTCGTGTCATAACTTTTTTATTAGACAATGATGGATGCTAAAAAAAAATCCATGTAAAAGGCATAATACCTGGTCTACTAATCCTGCAAGAATCAAAGTAATTCCTTTGATAATTGCCTTGAAAAAAATTAGTGAATTTAAGAAAAAATGACATTTTAGCTGGGACTGATTTTATGTGTGACTATAACTGACCCCTATTGCTTTAACATTTATCCCTCTGTGTTCATATATTTAGCATTTTAGAATAAATCTAAAATATAAAACTTATTTTAGCAAAGTTTTAGGAAGATTTAAGCTTTTTATCATGTTCAACTATTAAAAATGCATGAAATATGATGTCTAAAATTGATAAGTTATACGTATACCCTTGGAAGACCCTTATAATTTCTTATTTATGAACATATTTGTACCAATATTAGTTTTCTAGCTTAGAGAAATGATGTATGATATATCTTGGCTTGGCTTTCTGGTGGTTTGAACAATCTTTTAAGTGTTATCATTGAAAATTCATTCTTAAATCATAGGTCTGCAATCGATTAAATTCATGTATACCATTAGTATCATTCTACTGGTATGAGCATAATTGAACTAGCTATGATTTCATAGATTAGTTGTTTGATGCATGACATATTCCAAGCTGACTTTCTGGTGATTTTAACCATCTAAGAGGCTTAATCATTGAAAACCATTACAAATAAAGGCCTAAACGGACAGTATTAAGGTAGACTATTAGAACACCCTTATTAATTCCAGGCTTAGAGTATATTGGTACCTACTACTGTCTCATAGCTCGGAGGTTTGATATATGACATATACTGACTAGTTTTTCTGCAGATTTGAACTACCTAACAGGTCTAATCATTGAATATACTTAATATACTAGGTCTAAAATTGAAGTATTCAATAGAACCCTCTATGATAAATTCAAAAAAGATTCAGAATGACATTAACCTCAACACTGGATCTGAATCAGAATTACAATTCTTCATAGAGCTGAACTAGGAAGACAAGGCTAATTCCATTCTAAGCAGCCTGACAATCGCATGATGTGAGAGCAAAAGTACCAATGATTCATACAAATCTTCATTTTATGGAGTTTTCTTCCCTGAACAATGTTAAGTCATATTAAAAAATCCCCATCCCCACTGTCCCCATTAACCTTTCTGTGTTACTCTTGGCAAATTCTTGACAAATGGCGTATACTCACTTTGACAACATTTTGAATTAGTGGGATGTTTCAGTTAATGAGAGTTTTTGCAGAGTAGCAATTTTTGAAATTTAAATCCAATAGGACCATATATGGGAAATTCAAAAAAGATTCAGAATGACATTAACCATAACATTGGATCTGGAAATCAAATAAAGCAACTGATTGATGTGATCTTGGATGACTCTTGTAAATCAGAATTACAATCCTTCATAGAGCTGAACAAGGAAGACAAGGATTACTTTTCATTCTGGTAGTAATACATGGACATGGTCCAAATCTTGATACGCTTCACCATAGCCCAAAGAAAGGGAAATTGGGAGCTTCATCTTAATGTATTTCAATGCATGATCCCCTTTTTCATGAGATATGACCACCAAAAGATGGGGCACAGTACACTTCACTGCTGAAGTTTTGCTTCCTTGAAGACTGTAGCCAAATCATCAGATGTAGATGCAATTGATGCTAATTTGTAAGAAGGATCATATATTGGAAATATTACGGTTGGCATTTCAATACCATTTGTTAAACAGTTAAGGAGTAGAGTACATTTGAGTTGGCTTGAATGTTTCATTCGTCAATGAGAGGGCTATTGGAAAAGACATCAGCTCATGTTTCATGATTTCATTGATGCCCACAGGTCTGTGGTTAGCTTCATATGCAGTGATAAGATTCTGCAAAACATTCCTGTCTGCCTTAAAAACTTTCTGCTCGTTTATATTGGGATTAGGCATATAGTTTAAAAAATGCTGGTGCTTGCTCAGTAGATCAAGAAATGTTGTGTCTTTCATTTGACCCTGTTGGTATCAACCTCTTAGACACAAAGACATCCAGTTGTTGTTGGCCAAACTCTTGAGCCTGTTGATTGTTTCTGTGAGTACATCTTTTGTACATATACTTTGGAGATTAAGTAATGGATCTTCTGAAAACATGCCAAACTTCAGCAGCATGTCACATATTTTATCTTCTTCCAGAGACTGAATACTCTATCTTTTATGAGTACTAGTATCTACAACTATTTTTGATGTTATGAGTATTGGCTATCAATTTTTTCAATTTTTCTTCAACATGTATTGTAATGACTTCAGTATGAATGAAATGTCCCTTGGTGTTCTGGTCCTGGATTGTGATATTGGTTCTCGATTGGAAGGGGGAGGGGGATGTTAGACATTGTTTCTTTTCACGTTAGATTATGGTTTTGGGATATATAGGGTCTACTTTTCTTATGACAGATTTGCACTTGCGGTTTGCTTTTCTTGTTGGGTTTCTTTAATGTTTTTAGTCACCCTTCCCTTTGGCATTTGTGCTTATATATCCATAGATTCTTGTTTTGATTTGCAAATTACCAACCCCCCCTCTCTATGGAATCTCAAAACTCCCCATGCGTGACCTAAGATTATACCCCGGTGCCCATCTGTTCAATGCAGATATTGTCTTTGTGTTATGCCTACAATTCTGCCACCCTTCTAACCAATAGCATACTGGCATAGGGGTCAATCAACTTGGTTGATTGAATTTGTAGAGCCTTTTACCACATAGTTCAATGCAAGAATCCTCGCTCAACTGCAGCAGGTACTATATTCTAATAGTTAGTGCATTTCCTCTAAGTTTACTGTGCCACACCTTCCATAATTTTGGTGGTCATGAAATAAGGGATCATGCATTGAAATGCATTGAGATGAAGCTCCTAATTTCCCTTTCTTTGGGCTTGGATGAAGTATAGCAAGGTTTGGACCAGGTCCATGTATCAACACCAGAATGAAGTTAGCCTTGTCTTCCCTGTTTAGCTCTATGAAGGATTTTAATCCTTATTCAGATCTAATGTTGAGGTTAATGTCATTTTGAATCTTTTTTTGAATTTTCATAGAGGGTTCTATTGAATAATTCAGTTTTAGACCTAGTATATGAAGTATAATCAATGATTAGACCTGTCATTGGTTCAAATCTGCAGAAAAACGAGTCAGGATATATCATATATTAAACCTCCGAGCTATGAAACAGGAGTAGGTACCAATAAACTATAAGCCTGGAAATAATTAGGGTATTCTAATAGTGTACCTTAATACTGTCTGTTTAGACCTTTATTTGTAATGATTTTCAATGATTAAGCCTCTTAGATGGTTTAAATAAACAGAGAGTCAGCTCGGAATATGTCATACATCAAAATAATCTATGAAATCATAGCTTGTTCATGTTGATTATTTTGGGCAATCTTGCATATTTTGCTTTAATATTTCAGAATTATTTACTTCATTTAATGTGGATTTTGTTGTGAACATTTAATGATAATCTGCTTATAAAGTAAAAAACTACAGCATTTTACAACACATGCCCCATGTGGCCACCACTTCCTTTGCCAGATTTGATTGTGCATGTAGAGGAGAAGTGGCCACATTGGACATATGTTGTAAAGTGCTGTAGTTTTTGACTCCACAGGCAGATTATCATGAAACTTTCACAACAAGATTCATATTGAATGAACTGAATAATTCTGAAGTTTTGAGGCAGAATAAGCAGGATTGACAAAGTTAACTAACTCTTCGGTCCTGTTTTTTGGACACTCTGTACCAGTAGAATGATACTAGGCTAATGGTATACTTGAATTTAATCGATTGCAGACCTATGATTTAAGAATGAATTTTCAATCTAAGATTGTTCAAACCACCAGAAAGCCAAGCCAGGATATATCATACATAATTTGTCTAAGCTAGAAAACTAATATTGGTACAAATATGTTCATAAATAAGAAATTATAGGGGTCTTCCAAGGGTATACCTATGACTTATCAATTTTAGACATCATATTTCATGAATTTTTAATATTTGAACATGCTAGAAAGCTTAAATCTTCCTAAAACTTAGCTAAAATAAGTTTTATATTTTAGATTTATTCTAAAATGCCAAATATATGAACACAGAGGGATAAATGTTAAAGCAATACGGGTCAGTTATAGTCACACATAAAATCAGTCCCAGCTAAAATGTCATTTTTTCTTAAATTCACTAATTTTTTTCAAGACAATTATCAAAGGAATTACTTTGATTCTTGCAGGATTAGTAGACCAGGTATTAAGCCTTTTACATGGATTTTTTTAGCATCCATCATTGTCTAATAAAAAAGTTATGACACGAAAAGTAAAAAATGGGTCATAAATTTGCCCCCTGGGGTACATACTTTTTGCTTTTATTCAAATTTCGTAAGTGTAATCCGTATCATTCATACTTTAAATGTTTATTTTATACAATGTCCATGTATTTCACTTACAAAAACCATAAAATCAAAGTTATTTTAGGTTGAAGAATTTTTTCCCCCTGATAGGGGTGAATTTTGGGGGTAGGGGGACTAACATGGTATTTTAAGGGTTAAATAATCATATTTCAGCTTGCCAACATAGTTTTTTGGATTCAGCATAAAAAGTTACATAAGAAACACTTGTCAGAACACTTTTAACACTAAACGCCTACCACATTTCCTCTAGATGAAAATGCACCTTGTCTAACAAACACAAGAGACAAACCACCCAGGCTCCAGGCCGTGGATGGATTAAAATATAAAACTATTTAAGGCACAAACTGGTATTTAATAGACCGATATGTAGTGTCTGCCATGTATTGAAAGTAAACCAATCTTGTCTAACAAACACAAGAGACAAACCACCCAGGCTCCAGGCCGTGGATGGAAATATAAAACTATTTAAGGCACAAACTGGTATTTAATAGACCGATATGTAGTGTCTGCCATGTATTGAAAGTAAACCAATCTGCATTATTAATGTTACTTCTATCAATACATGGATTGAGCAATGGAAAAGCAATGGCACAATCAAAAATGTGCATATCAATCGTGAATATCTCTCGGTTCAAAGCTTATTTCAACCAGAATAGTGTCAAAATATGTGTCTGAGTAACAGTTATACATTATAAGATCGCAAACTCTTACCAATTATTAGCCGAATGGCTTATTTTCAACGAAATGTCCTTAAGACAACAGCCCTGGGTCGCGCCTGAGACCAAAAACTGTTTCAAATATCCCTCCCCTAATTATATTGGATAATCACATTTATGCGTGCGCGCGCAGCTCATCCACTGAACGAAACGCCACTTCCCGCTGAAATCACCGGGTATTGATCTTTCCCTTGGGTAACCTAGCGTCGAGGCTCGCTCCACGGACGAAAGCTGGAGCATTGATTATTTAAGAGGACTGGAAACAAGATGGCAGTCTATTTCAATTCTGCCAATTCGTGTTGGCCTATTTATCACTATTGACTCAGCCTGTTCATCTAGTTTTACTTACCTTAGATGCTTAGTAATCTATTTAGTATAATATTGTTTCCAAAATTATTGTCATTTGCGAAAATTAGAACTAAAAGTACTTTGAACAGGTCAGCTGCCATTTGCTTGGCTGATCGTAACAGTCCACAAAAACAGTGAAATCATATTAAAAATACCAATAAAACTTTAATTGAGGCAGATGTGATACAAAAACTCTATTAATACAGATGTACACGTTACAGTCACCAAGATGAGCTAATTTCAGGCGAGATTCGGGAAATAAAAAGGTAGGTCATTCTTGTTTCCAGTCCTCTAAATACAGGTAATCTATGCTCCGGCTTTCGCCAGAAACTTACTTGACGTCCGTGGCTCGCTCATCAAATTAATATTCTAGACATTTTTATAGCGATACATCGAAAATTGTGTATCGAATTCTAAATGCTTGGTTCTAGATATTCATATTGGTCGTTATCGAAGAATTTATTTGTTTTAACGAACCTGGTGTTCGTTTTTTGCCCATCAATCGTAACGATTTTTGCAAGTCTTGGCATGTACAGTCCGAATGCAGGGCTCCAGACAACATCCAAAGTGTGAGTTCTGGCAGCCTGTGTCCGAACAGTAGGCAAGTAGACTATAAAGCGCATACACTGTGTAAAGACATACATAGCCTGATATTGTAACTCTTTTGTAGATTGCGCATGGTAAACCGTCAAAAGCTGCAAATCTCTGCAGAACACAAGAAATGACAGTACAAGCGCCAGTTTGGAATGTGGTAACAGTGCGACCGCTTGACGAAAATGTGCCCGTGACTCCTTGGTCCATTAGATTTGAATGCGCTGCAGAATAGGCAGTCCATGGGCATTGAAGAAAATACCAAATACGTCTGCAAAATATAGAAAAACATTATTTTAGCGTGCAGTCTCATCTGCGCTGCTAAAATCGTTCAAAAACATTTTCTTCGAAAATATTTTACTGAAATAAAAGTATTAAATAAATGTTATGTTCTCTTACTATTGTCTTGTCGAAATGCAGTTGGATGAAAGTTCATTAAATGTTGCTTAATCCCCGTCCTTGCTTAATCCCATGCCAGCGCAAAAATATATAAGTTAAAGATAGGCCTAGGCTACTAGATATAGTAATCGATCTTTCGCAGAGTACGTCTACGTACCTGTACGTCTGCGTACGTCTGAGTAGTAGCTTACGCATGCGCCTTCTCATTAGGAGGTTAAGATACACACGTTAATTAAACTTGTACGTGAACGTGTAGAATTATGGTCCTCAACAGTGGAATAGTTATCCCATTTGTATTGTTTACTTGGCCGATTGAGTATAAAGGTATACTGAAAATAATTGTAATTAGGTCACTGGAAAATAGAATTGAGAGTGGAACAGTAATCCACAGGGGTCGAAATATTACACACTCAGGTTCTCTTAAAAACGTGTAACTAATCTTCCTCATACTGGAAAATTTTTTTTTCCGTTTAGAAAAAATAGTAGCCAATTTGAGGCCCACTTTCTTTAGAATGCGTCAAAAAGTTAAAAATAATGCCCCATAATGCAATTTATTTGTAAATAAATACTATATATTGGAACTGTTTCTTTGTGCTGTCTTTCCATGTGGGGAGGGGCAAATATTGAAACTCAAAATTTTACCGAGGCCTAGCCATGCTTAAGTTGTTAAGTTTTCAGTTGTATATTAATTGCAAATCAAGATATAAAAGATAATACAGACTTGGGCAAGGCTAACCGAGGCCCATCTTAGGGGGATCCTGGCTTAATGTAGACTTTTGCCGAACTTACTTTAAAATTAATTTATCAAGTAAGACTAGCTAGTCACTGAATAAAAATGTAGTTTCCCTTTGACTAAGATCATATCTACTAAAATATAATATTTCGCAGGAAGCAGATGTAATAAAACATTGATAGCATCTGTGTGTTTATTCAGAGATGTATATTGTCATTTAGCCTTGCCCAAGTCGGTCTCTTTTACTATCTGATTTCTATTATGACCGCCTTGTACCAAAGAGAAAGCCACGTGCTTTACCGACTCAATGTTTATGTCGGTAAAATTTGACCAATCAACGACGGCCCTGCAGCGTTAGCTCATTATTATGCGCGGTCAAAAACAAGTACACTTTTCGTCGGGACTTTTCACGACCAAATCTTGCATGAATTCATCATGAAAATACAAATATTTTATCAGATAAATATCAATCAGAGTTAAGTGGATGCCAGACATCGATCGGTAACCGGAGGTTAGAAGATTTCAACAATAAACGTTGAAAGGATCGCTGAATTCAAATGAACATGTAGGCTGAGATTCAATTACTGATCGACGACTACACGACCCGCTACATTGGACTAGGTCTTGCATTTTCATCGCGAGATCAGTTTTAAATCTATTGCATGATTTAATTTATATTAATGACTCTTACATTCCCTATGCACATTTAATTACATAATGTATTGTAACTCTAAAGAAACGATCGATCAGATCATTGAATTTCCGAACTCCCATGCAGTGTAGAAGATTGTTTTGCTGTGCAGCTCAACCTGATAACGTTTTGATTGGTCAATCAGCCTGAAGTCACACGTCGTGTCCACGCCAGTCTCCGAGCCTTTCGTCCAGTGCCATCCGAACGAAATGAATTTGAGAATGTGTCCACGCGTATATCTGTTAATCAATAAGGTTTCGCGATACCCCTGATAGCGTAGGTATTATGGAAATCTCGAAACCGTTGAATATCTCAGCATAATAGCAGCGGAGATGTATTGGATTGTACAAGGCGGTAATAATTCAAGATCAGATAAGTAAAAAATACCGACTTGGGCAAGGCTAATTGTCATTATGTCTCTGGAATTCCAGAACTTCCGGAACTCACAAGCTGCTACAAATCACATATATCTGTTAGCAAATAACAAGAGGATCAACTGATACTTGTAGATTAAAATTTTTGAATTTTGAAATTTTTGAATTTGATGTACTGTTTTAAACAATGTGCAGTTGTAACAAAAGAAGAGTCCATTTTCTATTGCTTTTAAAAATGGACACGTGCCAAGCTATCAAAAACTAATTGGTACAAAAGTTGTATCAACATTTGAATAGTCAATACAAAAGAAATTGATCTTTACAGTTAAATAGTACTGTGTAATCTTAAATTGATCATGGATCACTGACATTTCATAAGGGTCAGTGTGGGTTGTAATGTTAACAGTTCATACCGGCTGTTAGATGATCTACAATGATCTCCTATACATTAAATAATACTGACTTCATTCATGAATATCAATTTCCTCTCTTTTAAATCAAATGAACATCCTGTTATGTTTCAGATTCTCAGTTTCATTTTATTTACATTCATAGACGCTGTTGCTAATGCAAAACACTGGTTACAAAAAATGGTTGCTATAACAACCTCTTCTTGGAGGTGACATAAAATCATCAAAAAGTCTTACTTATACTTTTACTATTGTCTGCTATAATCATTACATTCAATATTAATATAATGTACATAATCACAAAAAAACATTGCTCCAGTTGTGTTCTATGTTGTTTATATCTGTATATTGGGGGGGGGGGGGGGTATCATACAATTTTTATGCCATTGCTCTATTACCAAAATTCTGCACACCATCGCACATGTGACAAGTCCAGTTGTTGCTATGGTAACTCATTTTAAATGACTCATATGACATGACTTTTTCTGCAGATCAATAAAACATTTCTTTTTGTCCTAATAGTGTTCTTAATCCCCTTGTTAAGGATAGCTTTACGCATCCTAGTGCATTTGTTGCTATGTTGTTGTGACTGAACATGTCAGGGGTTTCATTAGCAGCAGGCAACAGGCAATTTTCACCGGTTGTTTTCACAAAATCGCCTGTTGTTTTCAGGGACTTTTCAACTTTTCCATGTTAAATTTATGATTTCCATTAATTTTGCCTGTTGTTTTCATTTATTTAGCCTGTTGTGAGAAATTCTAGTGAAACCCCTGCATATTGTTTCAATCATGTCCATTATTCTCTGTATTTAATATCCATTACTTTGCTATGGTTACTCAAAATACCATGGCAACCCAGCTATCAGCAGCATACATAATACCTGTAACATAACATATCCTCTATGCATTTTGATGTTATGTTGTTACTCTGGTGCAAAAAAACTCCAATGCATCCTATATTCAACATGTCATACTATTGCTATGGTAACTCATAGTATCATGGCAACCCAACCAGCTATAAGCAACATGCCCCCATATGGTGTGACCTTCCGTATCCTAGTGTCTCCTGTTAGAGCGTGATAATAGCAACTGCCACTAAATAAAGCTGTGCCTAGTAAGATCAGAGGCCCAACCTGGAACATAATAAAGACTGAAATAGCCGGATAATAGACTAGATAGGAGTAGAAATAATATTGATTTACATTTAAATATTCAAAATTCAGTCAAAGTGATGTCATATTTGAAATCTATTGGTAAAAGTACATCTAGAATTACGTTTCGAAAATTGTTTATCAATTTTAAAAATTTAATTTTTTTTGAAAATTGGTTGATTCCCCATATAACCCATGTTACAAAATCACAAAAAGTGAAATATCTTTTCTTGTATTGGACAGATAAGGGTTATATAAAAATTGAACCACTAAAACAGTTGTAATCTAGGTTAAAGGGAACTTTCTTCTACACCCACCATGCTATCTGACCCGAATGAGCCTCCTGGTGGTGAAACTGGTAACTACCTACTCACATCTGCATTATTGTTTAAAAATAAGGGAGACCCAGGGTCTTTTCAAGAAATGTTGGCCAATTTTTCTGTGTGGATTATATTAGTAGTTAAAAACTTCTTATACTCAAAGCAAATCTCAATAACTTTAATGACTGTTTGGTATGCTGCCCTCAAGTCAGTGTATAAATACGGCATAAAATTGCAAAAAAATAAAAAACATTCTCTTACTTGCAATTAGTGTGCTTTTAGCTACCTAATTTGACATGTTTTATATTTTAACCCTATCAATGCTTCCAAAAAAGCAATTTCATTTTGCTGCTAATTCAAAATGAAGAAATTGCTGGCTGCTCAATGCTACTTTTCATGGCAAAATATAGAAAACTTTATGTCTCCATATTATATCTGACTTGGTCATTTTTTAAATTTTTTTTAAGGTTAACTGAATAATTTGTTGGCCACCTTTAATTATTTGGACAGGATATTTTGATTTTCTAGTTTTCAGGTTGTACCCCAGGATAAGCAACGTCTATTTAACTGTACATTTCAAGATATTAAATCATAGTAGTCTGGCAGAAACTTGGAAGCTAATCGTTTTATAACTTAGTCATTATTTCAAATAGAACCAATGTATAATACATCGTTGGAAAGTTAAAATAAATATATGAATAAATTATTCAAAAATGCAAATTAGTTATGACATCATCAATATGGCTACTATTTTTGCATTGCCGGAGTAAAAGTAGTAACTATATAGTACTCACCAAACCAGGTCTGCGTGTACAGGGGACAGCTAGCAGAACAATGGAGTGAAGCATGTGGTAGCGATTTCCTGTGTCAAATGTCAGTTTTAACTTAGGGTCCACATCTTCTCTGTTAGCAAATGCTGGAAACAAGATTGAAGATCACTTTTTTTACTCTGATTCAAATATTGTACAATCTCTGAATATCTCAAAGGGCTTAGTGGCCCTTAAACCCTGTCAGGCACAAGACTATTAAGATTATTAATAAGGTCAGCTGAGTTTAGCTCAAGTTTAAGTACATGTAGCTTAGTGCTAGAGCACACAACTTATCTGGCACATTTCAATTTCTCTTTTGCCCATTTACCCATTAACTATATCTATGAAAAAAATTTTGTATATAGTATAGCGTACTCCCACCACAACATCCTTGGGCTGTCATCTCATCTTGCAAAATGGTTGACACTCTTGAGCTGTCATCTCATCTTGCACAATGGTTGACACTCTTGAGTTGTCATCTCATCTTGCACAATGGTTGACACTCTTGAGTTGTCATCTCATCTTGCACAATGGTTGACACTCTTGAACTGTCATCTCATCTTGCACAATGGTTGACACTCTTGAGTTGTCATCTCATCTTGCACAATGGTTGACACTCTTGAGCTGTCATCTTATCTTGTAAAATGGTTGACACTCTTGAGTTGTCATTTCATCTTGCACAATGGTTGACACTCCTGAGTTGTCATCTCATCTTGCAAAATGGTCGACACTCTTGAGCTGTCATATTATCTTGCACAATGGTTGACACTCTTGAGCTGTCATCTCATCCTGCAAAATGGTTGACACTCTTGAGTTGTCATGTCATCTTGCAAAATGCTTGACATTCTTGAGCTGTTTTTTTCATCTTGCAAAATGGTTGACACTCTTGAGCTGTCATCTCATCTTGCAAAATGGTTGACACTCTTGAACTGTCATCTGATCCTGCAAAATGGTTGACACTCTTGAGTTGTCATGTCATCTTGCAAAATGCTTGACATTCTTGAGCTGTTATCTCATCTTGCAAAATGGTTGACACTCTTGAGCTGTCATCTTATCTTGCAAAATGGTTGACACTCTTGGGCTGTCATCTCATCTTGCAAAATGGTTGACACTCTTGAGCTGTCATCTCATCCTGCAAAATGGTTGACACTCTTGAGTTGTCGTGTCATCTTGCAAAATGCTTGAAAATTCTTGAGCTATTATCTCATCTTGCAAAATGGTTGACACTCTTGAGTTGTCATGTCATCTTGCAAAATGCTTAAAAATTCTTGAGCTATTATCTCATCTTGCAAAATGGTTGACACTCTTGAGCTGTCATCTCATCTTGCAAAATGGTTGACACTCTTGAGTTGGGTCATCTCATCTTGCACAATGGTTGACACTCTTGAGTTGTCATCTCATCTTGCACAATGGCTGACACTCTTGAGCTGTCATCTTATCTTGCACAATGGTTGACACTCTTGAGCTGTCATCTCATCTTTCACAATGGTTGACACTCTTGAGTTGTCATCTCATCTTGCAAAATGGTTGACACTCTTGAGCTGTCATCTCCTCTTGCAAAATGGTTGATACTTTTGAACTGTCATCTCATCTTGCAAAATGGTTGACACTCTTGAGCTGTCATCTCCTCTTGCAAAATGGTTGATACTCTTGAGCTGTCATCTTATCTTGCACAATGGTTGACACTCTTGAGTTGTCATCTCATCTTGCAAAATGCTTGACACTCTTGAGCTGTTATCTCATCTTGCAAAATGGTTGACACTCTTGAGTTGTCGTCTCATCTTGCAAAATGGTTGACACTCTTGAGCTTTCATATTATCTTGCCCAATGGTTGACATTCTTGAGCTGTCATCTCATCTTTCAAAATGGTTGACACTCTTGAGCTGTCATCTCCTCTTGCAAAATGGTTGACACTCTAGAGCTGTCATCTTATCTTGCACAATGGTTGACACTCTTGAGTTGTCAACTCATCTTGCAAAATGGTTGACACTCTTGAGCTGTTATCTCATCTTGCAAAATGGTTGACACTCTTGAGTTGTCGTCTCATCTTGCAAAATGGTTGGCACTCTTGAGCTGTTATCTCATCTTGCAAAATGGTTGACACTCTTGAGCTGTTATCTCATCTTGCAAAATGGTTGACACTCTTGAGTTGTCGTCTCATCTTGCAAAATGGTTGACACTCTTGAGCTGTTATCTCATCTTGCAAAATGGTTGACACTCTTGAGTTGTCATCTCATCTTGCATAATGGTCGACACTCTTGAGCTGTCATCTTATCTTGCACAATGGTTGACATTCTTGAGCTGTCATCTCATCTTGCAAAATGGTTGACACTCTTGAGCTGTTATCTCATCTTGCAAAATGGTTGATACTCTTGAGCTGTCATCTCATCTTGCACAATGGTTGACACTCTTGAGTTGTCATCTCATCTTGCAAAATGGTCGACACTCTTGAGCTGTCATCTTATCTTGGACAATGGTTGACATTCTTGAGCTGTCATCTCATCTTGCAAAATGGTTGATACTTTTGAGCAAACTCAAATCTAATTACTAAGGATAGAGAAGAAGAATAAATCAAGAGACCTTTATTAGGCTATAATATCAGATAGACTGATTGGAACACATTATCAGCCAATTTTCATATTTCAATTTGTCATTATTAGTAACGACAAATTTAGACTCTTTTATAAGGCTACATAATATAAGGGAGGCAGAGGGTCTGGTTTGATGATATGTAGCCTTGACAACTTACAGGCCTGACAACTTGGGAACACCTAACATGAGTGACTCCCAAATGTTGAACACCTTTCTTCAAACTGTAGACACCTTGATCCAAATCCATTGTTGTCCGAAGGAAGAGGGCATTGGGGGCGATCGCCCCCCCCCCCCCCCTTCCCAGATTTTTTAGATTTGAAACTGAGCCTAGAATTGAAAGCTCTAGAGCTAACTAAAGTCTAAGTTTAGTAATGACAGAAATGATACTATGTCAGTATCTAGTCTACATCAAGCATAGAAGATCTCATTTCTCATATTATATTTAATTCTATACCATGTATAGTTTCTCAGGAACCCATACAGATGTATGTAAATACTTTGAAGAATAAGTGCAAATTGTACATTTTAGTAAAAGTTTTTTATTCAAGGCAAGTTCAGTTTTCTAGAACACATTTTTTTAAACACGTTTTTATTATTGGGAATGTTGTTCTCAATGTTCTGAGATATGTTCAGAATACACCAGAGAGGGTTTTAAAGAATTTTTCTGGGGGCATGCCCCCCAATCACCTGTGCGGTGCGCTTCACGCACGACCCATCCATACCCAAAAGTCGCCTCTTCCCTTGGCAAATCCTTCTGACGCCCCTGAAATCTGAACACATTGGCCCATAGCTTGAACACCTTGGTTCAAATTTAACTGCATATAACCAAATTTTGGACACCTCAAAGAAACTGATGTGACTTCAAATTTTCTCAGATACGCATTATGCAAATTGCGGACCAGTTGGATGGCCTGCAACTAATTTGCGTATCCATTCACAAAAATAACATTGAATATCAAATAGTGTTCCTTACCATGAGCTCCATAAGCTCCAAATCCAACAGCCAATGCGCCAGATAAACCAGCCATTCTTGTGAAAGCTTGGCCAGCTCGTGGGGTCACCATTTTTACTTCACTTACGACGATTCTTTGGACCTCAGTTGTTTTAGGTAACCACCCCAAACACCAGTTTCCCAAGTCTTTAATTTGATCTACCATTATTTAGTGTTGTCACTCTCTAGCATTCTAGCATTTCACGAATAAATCGGAGATAAGAATTATGAAATTTTGGAAAAAATTGCAAAATGGCTGAAGTACACATTCCAATTTGTATGTTTATCATCTTTAGTTGTGTTATTTTACTTTTTGTTGCAAGAATACAAATGAAAAGCAATACATTATGATTTTGCATACACAAAATAATATTTTTTCGAAATTACAAGAATGACTAAAGATAAATAGATTTAGATTAATATTCAGACTGTGTCTTTTGGGGAATCCCCAACAAAAGAAAGGGGAATTCCCAAAAATATTTCTGGAAATATTTTCTATGATTCATTTCGTGATGATTTGTTACTTTACTTATCTTTCATTTTGTGCCTGTAATATGTACAGGCTACTCGGCCTTACAGTTGAATGGATATCGTAGACATTTCAGAGTGGTATTTCGATGGTGAAACTGAAACAGAAAGAGAAAATTATTTCAAAATGAAAGAAACTAATTTTTTTTTGAAAGTGAGCTACAGTTGGGGACATAAATAAATGACAGGTGGATTTGCTGAAGTGAGGATTTCCCATGTTAAAAATAAGAGAATTTACAAGAGGCCATAAATCAGTGGATGAGATTATACAAAATGTAAAATATACAAATTTTAAGGGATATGTATCTAGACAATATTGGAAATTATGGGCTTTCAGACCACCATAATTAGGAAATGGTGATCGAAAATCGACCTGTCATTTATTTTTGTCCCCAACTGTACATGTAAGCTTATTTCTGATTTGTAACATCAAGGAATAAATAGAGGCGAATATCGGATAAATCAAGGTTCCCGGAACTATACACTCAGTTTAAGTATTTTTAAAGGCTTTATCAAACTCAGTTGTAACAAAGAAGTTTACAAGCTCAGAAAAGGAATAGAATAATTCTAACTCTAATATAGCCAGTATGTTCTCAACAGCATACCATGGGTCTGTGGCCCAATACATTGAAGGTGGAAAAGAACCTGAATTAGGGGACATGCTAGAATTTAAGAGAAGCTGCTTATACAGTCATTGGGCAATATATGCAGGTATAGCTAAGTAGATTATATCATTTGGGTTGTTGCTTTCCTTTTTAAAAAAAGGTATCTGCATTTTAGTCTATCTCATATCAATACCATCTCTTCATACCAAGACCTCTTTTTTCCAACGACAAAGAGATGGTCTTCTTGGTACATTATAATGTACCAGTGAGCATACACCTTTGCCTAAAGTTGCCTAAAGGGGAAACTCTGAATTATTACAGTATGATCAAATGTTTTTAATTCCTATAGGTAATGGTAAGGTGATACACCGCACAGGAGATGGGGATGGCATTTCCAACATTTCAGGAGCTGGATCTCGTGTTGTAGCAACACCTTGCGGGCAGTTACTCAACAAGGCGAAGGTTCAAATGGATCATATACGGAATGTTATTGTCCAAGGAGTAAAAGCCAAGATTAATAACTATATGGGAAAGGTAAGTTTTTTTATCTTTATTATTAATCTTATATGCCTAATTACACCAATACATTTGCCTTTGCTAAAAGTTGGGCCTACTGTGGTTTACCAGCGTTACTCGAGTCTCTAGATATAGTGGCCTTAAAAGAAGGTAATACCAGTGCTCTCACCAGGAAATATTTAGGTAGTGGAAACTTACCTTCTGCACACCCTTTAATCATGAAAATCATATTAATGTTACATTTTATCCTTTTTACATGCTGTTATTGTTTATTCAGTCAAGTTTTGACTGTGGAAACAATCATGATTTGCCAATAGGTTGTGGTGGGAGCTATAGACTTATTGTTCTGCATCACAGTCTAAAAGCCTAGTTAGAGCCCTGTCTACTCTTTGTTATGAGATCTCTTATCTTGCACTGGGTTAATAATCAGTATGTGAATTGATTGAGTTTTGATTACCAGGGCTATAGTCAGAATAACAAATTAGATGAGACCAAAAATTCAATTAGCTAAAATAAACTGGGGTTAAAATAAACCGGGCACTAAAATTTGCAAATTCCCGGGAAACTACATGAATACTAGTATTTAAATCGTATGTTTCTTTCAATATCTGAAGGATAAATAGCCATCCATCAGTGAAATAGTAGTATTAGTAGTAAATATAAAGATAAAAGGTGTTAATTGAACACGGTTCAACAACCAATGATATTGCTTAAATTCTCTTTCTAATGCATTTCGCTAATTTGATTTTTTAAAGATTACTCTTCATTTTGCTAAAATTTCCCGCGCTAAAACCCCCTAAAATTGAAAAATCTCTAAAATTTCCTGGTGTCAAAATTACCCGTTTTACAGTATAATATTACCCATTGACTTTCAAAGCCCATGCACATTTCATGTGCTATACTTTTGGATTTCATTTCCAAAGATCTAGTTGTCCAAATAGTAGATCTACATTTAGTCCAAAATCAAAGTATTGCTATTCAATTTCTCATAATGTTCCCCCAATTTTTTTAACATTTTTGTGAAAGTACCGAACTACCTTTATATATTCTTAATGCTCTTTGATGTGTTCATAAGGCATTCAAATACATGTGAATGAATCTTTTCCAGTCAAAATGGTCTGGATATGAGATTGTACGAAGAGCAAGGGAGAAAATAGGAGAGATTGGGTACAATGTTATTTACAAAAACTGTGAGCATTTCTGCACAGAGATGAGGTATGGAGAAGACCATAGCAAACAGGTATGTTAATAACTTCGCACACACAAAGGTCAAAGTCAAAACAACATTAACATTATTTCCAAGTACTATGTCAATTGCTTTATCAATATCACCATTGAGTCATGTTTTCTAGAATAGAAGCGAGTATATTTGATGCCCCCTCTACAGGCCTGTCAACTGTCCCGCAATTTGCGTATTTGTCACGCATTTGCTGAAGAATTTGAAGTCACGCCAGTTTTTTTTGCGTGACAGAAAATGTCACGCAAATACGCATTTTACCTGGTAATTGTCACGCAAAAATATTTCTGTAGAATTTTTTTCGAAATATGTTTATGATACGGTAAAAATACGAACGTCGGAAAAAACCGAACGCAATTTGTTCGGATTTGTCACGCGAATCCCGTATATGTCACGCATGTTCATTGGAAATTTTCGTCCCTCCCCCCCCCCCCCCCCCCCCCCCCGTTGACGACATCGCGAGCGTAGCGAGCGCGAAAAATTTGAGGTGATCAAAGTTTGGCAAAGGTGCTCAAACTTTGGCCAAAGGTGTTTAAAAGTTGGCCAAAGGTGTTCAAAATTTGGACAAAAGTGTTCAGATTTGGACTTAGGTGTCCAACATTTTGAAGTCACTCATATTAGGTGGTCCCAAGTTGACAGCCCTGCCTCTATAAAAGTTCAAGCAATGATAATGAGTACAAAGGTTTAAGACTTATTATTCATTCAAAACAATAAAGTGATTGCCAATGATTTTGGTATCTATCAAACTGTATACTCGTATTGTAATAACACTGCCTAGTTTTGTATAGCTGTACATTGTGTAACTCTTTGTGTATACACCGTAAATATAGGTTATTTACTGGGAGGGATTGAATATGGGTTTTATTCCAAGGGACAATATGATATTGACCGAAGGGTAATATGATATTGACCGAGGGAGCGCAGCGACCGAGTGTCAATATGATATTGCCCAAGGTCAATATCATATTTCCCGAGGAATAAAACCCATATTCAATCTCTACCAGAAATAACCTATTTATTCCATAATACATCCCTCTAAAATGTTACATTTTGATAAATGCAAAAATTATATGAATAAATGCACATTGTTTGCGCTCCCTCGGTCAATATCATATTGCCCAATGTCAATATAATATTTTCCTAAGAATAAAACCCATATTCATTTTATCAATTAGTCAAGGTTAAAAATAACCAGGAAACCCAAAATAGGTTTATACGCTCTATTACGATTTTTTCCCGGGGACAATACGATTTTTTCATGTAATACGCTCCAATACGATTATTTCCCCGAACAATACGATTTTTTCATGTAATACGATTCAATACGATTTGTATTCCTTCATATTTCCCTGGGAAAACAGTAGTATTATGAAATAAACTGATATATCCATAGTTATGGGCCGATATAAAGATGACAGCACCAACAGAATCCCAATATTTATAAATAAATAACACAGATCGATTACCATGCCATCTTTATTTTAAAATTATTCCTATCGGCCTTTGCCTATGGATATATCATTCATATGATATCTAAGAGTCAATAATATGAACAGTTAACATTATTTTAAAAGGTAAGGTTGAACACATAGACATTAATAAATTATTACAATTTTATATAGGTGTTTCTGTATTTTGTGTCGCCCTGTGATGCACTCAGATGCACTCCTACAAATTAGAAATGTAAAAGTGTGTTTGTTCAAATCCGATTTGGGGCATGTAAATAAGGAAAGGGTGACACTTCCTAATCATGTTTTGTTTGCATATGAGTATCGGTCTGCAAATAAACAGAGGCAGTTTTAGATATTAAAAAGAAATGAAATGTTGCATTACACTTTTGTGTTTGCAGCTACTGTGGGCAGAATATGTCATGATTTTCTGCAGATATTGTGATTGCAAATATCTACATATATCATGGCTATTATATTATAAACTGTATATGTATGTGTAACAATTACTTACACAAGAGTGTAAATGTTCAACCAAAGGGTATATATTCTATTCCAGGTCCAAGATACTGCTGCTGGAGTAGCAATAGCAGGAGCTAGTATTCTTGGTGGAATAGCATTGGCAAAAGTATTGGGCAATAAAGACAAATAATCTTCAAAATAAGTAGGGCCCACAGTCTGAAGTCTGGATACTTCTTTGTGATTTGAAAATTAGCTGCAACATGCAATAATTTATCAACATTAGAATAATGAATACAGGAAAACAGGGAAGTATAAGAATTGTAGACGAGCAGTTATATTTTTTTTAATACAAGAGTTTGTTGATATACAAAAATTCAGTGGACAGTGCAAATTAGATCCGTCTTTATACTACACTCTCATTGGATAACAAACACTCTCATTGGATAACAAACACTTTACAAAATTTCTTGCAATATTTGGCACCCATTTTTTAACATAATTCTTCACTAAGTAATAACATTTATTTATTGATCCCCAATGAAACAGATTAAATCCTGGGAAGTTAAACTTCTGCAACAGAGAATAGAAGGAGAATCACATGAAATTGAGATAGGAAATTACCAACTAGGGTTCTTAAGATTCACCCATATGTAACATTTGAAAATATCAGAGATGATATTACAATTTACTGCCAATTATTGTCATTGTTACTGTGTTTATTACAGTATTTAATTTGTATTGTTAAATTGTTATCATTGTAAATTATATTGATAGGCACTTTGTGTATGTAGCAACTCATTTCCCATAAAATGGGTGAGCTAATAGATCATGCCATTCAATATTAATTATGTTTAACATCATGTCAAGGGTCATATTCTTAGGAGAGTGGGAGATGAAAAACAAGGAATTCAAACAAGGAATTATAAACCACCTATAATAAATGCTGGGTTGATTTAGAAAAAAATCTTCCGACAGCTTGGTAATCTGAATTAAATTTATACTATTTATTAGACTCCAGATTGAAAGTCTTAGCTTACTCAGCTACTAACTCACTTACTTACTCAGCTACTTACTCAGCTACCTACTCAGCTTTTTACTTAGTTACTTACTCAGCTACTTACTCAATGCTACAAAGGTACTTACTCAGCTAATTATTCAGCTACTTACTCAGCTCTTTATTGATCTATCTAGGTCAAATCATTCTGGAGTCTTAAATTGAACTCTGTTCAATTTACCCATCTAGTTATTTATATATTATTGATATTGGGCATATATACTCAGACATGTTCTTATAGGCTAGAGGGAACTGGGGGTAAAAATAACTTTTATTGTACACTCACCACAACGCATCATGTTTGGTACCAAATTAAAGCTGAGAATCCAGGCTTTCAAGTTCTGCTTGTCCTAATATAAAATTGTGGTATACCTTTTAAATTAGATGCGTCTGTTGCTATGGTTACCATTTTATCATAAATGCCATTTTACTCATTTGAGGTTTTAAGGTATGTTCATGTTCAACAGTATTTTTCTAGGATATTTGACTAAGAATAATAAAAACCTAACCACAAGACTAGGTACTACTTATATACTCTTTAAAAATATTGTGATGTCATATTTTACCATAGCAACTACCTAGTAACAGTTGAAACAGTCTGAAATGAACATCAGATCGAGAACTTATGGTCTAATTTGACCTTTCTGTTCCATGCCAATGTCAGAAATGTTTTGGTACAGTGTATCTTTGGAAAGCAAGATGTGCATGTTAACAATGAGTTCCATATTATATTAAAAATGTGTTCTGTTTGCAATGGGAAAGGAGGCTGATAAACCAACTATTTGCATTATCTTAACCACCTGTATTTTTATAGGGTTTTGTTCTTCGCAAAGATATTGATATGAAATTAAACCTTTTTTTAATCTGCTTATATTTAATTTAATATGTATTTAATGAATAATATGTTAAAATAGTTAAAATAAACCTTATGATGGAATCTTTCCAAAATCACTTTTACCTAAGTTGCAAAATTTTGAGCCAAAAATTGTTGAATGCCTGTTTCCATAGCAACCCTAAAATTAGAGTTAATTAACACCTTTTTGAACATATTTTGCTTGTTTTTTATTCAATTTTAATGATATTTGCACCAAAATGATCGCACTGAAAAAAATGTGAATGTTCTTATAATCATGCTGATAATTCATTTGAATATGCTAGCCATGGCTGTTCGATGGGATTTGCTACGCTTTGGCAGAAATATAGGGTATTTTGACATTCAATCGTTTTCTTCGGATTACAATGTTTTTTGAACTTATCAACATGATTATAGGATAAGGACCTAAAAACCACAGGATGCCGGAGCGGCACCCTTGGGCAACTCTCTACAGAGCATTTCTTATACCCCCTGATAAAATATACAGGGGGTACTATAAGACGCCCTCATATCTCAGATAATAATATATATATTAAGTTGAAATTTTCAAGAATTCGTTTTAGTATGATGCTTGACATGTATGACAAAAATCAAGAAAAAATCTTAATCCGTTGCTATAGCAACTGTAAAAGAACACTATTTGTTACCGTAGAGATGCATTATTTTGCTGATTTTCAACATTTTTTCATATTCTTGATTCTTAAACTAGTATATAGTATTACTTACACTAGAATATAGAACACTGCATATTTTATATTTGGTATATACTTGTACATGTATATCAAATGAAATCTAATGAATCCATACAGTGGTGAGGTTGGCATATACAGGGTGTCAAATAAGTCCTTAACAGACGGTACCTAGTGTGATATACCATTGGAAAGATCATCCAAAGTTATGTTAACTCACCAACTCTCAAGTATTTTGGATGAAATTTACCTGTATTTTTATGATGTCTTTCATAGTTAACGTGCCCTCCTTTGAGTAGCTTTTTTTGCGTCAAAATGACAAGGATATGACCTCAGAAATACGTCAAAAAGTTAATCTTTTTCGCATTCCACTTGTTACAAAAAGGCTTTAACCACTTTCCTTGCACCTCTATTTTCTACACATCTAACCCTATCCTTAAATTGGTTAAATTCATCACCATAAACATATTTAGTCATCTTTTGATCCCTTGACCTTCCTTATACCTGATTCTTAAAATCCTGCCAAATATGCCGAATTGCTAGGTTTCTAGGCATATGGTCACCTCAATTGATACCATGTAGACATTTGTGAGATTGATTGACATGTGTCAGATATATGCCAATCAACGTAACTTTGGAAGACCTTTCCAATGATATATCACACTTGGTACCAAATATCTTGGTTTTGGCTGTAGAGGGGGGACGGGACTTATCTGACACCCTGTAGTATAGATTTGGGCATTTAGAACATGCATCATAATGAAATCTAATGTAATCATATAATAGAGAGGTTGGCATAGTCTAGATTTTGGCTTAATGTCTAAATTTTATAAGCAATGGCTTTCCTCATCTGAGCAATCAGACTACTGGGGGGACCCTGTATAGCTTCTTGGGGCCACTGGGGACCAACGTATAGCTTTTAAAGGCACTGTGAATATTTGATTTAACATTGAATTCAATTGGATATTTTCTCTAAAAGTGAAATTTAATGGTAATGAAACATTTCAGATTGACAACATCATGAATTTTTGTCAGTGAAACTTTGGGCTTACTTCTGGGGGGCCACTGGGGACCCTCGCCTCGTGTGGTTTCTGGGGGCCACTGGGGGCACCTGTATAGCTTCTGAGGCCACCATATAGCTTTTTTGGGCCACTATGGGCCCCTGTATAACCTCTTGGGATCATGTATAGCTTCTTTGGGACACTGGGGGGCCACCATATAGTTTTTGGGGCCAACATATAGCTTTTAGGGGCCAACATATAGCTTATGGGAACCACCGTATAGCTTCTGGGGGCCACCGTGTAGCTTCTGGGGGCTACCATATAGCTTCTGGGGGCCACTGGATGCCATCCTATAGCTTCTGGCGGCTACTGGAGGCCATCATATCGCTTCTGGGTGCCATCATATAGCTTCTTGGGCCAACCATATAGCTTCTTGGGGCCACTAGAGGCCCCTGTATAGCTTTTAGTGGCTCCTGTATAGCTTCTTTGGGACACTGGGGGGCCACCATATAGTAATTGTGGGGGCCAACATATAGCTTTTGGGGGTCACCGTATAGCTTCTGGGGGCCCCTGTATAGTTTCTTGGGGCCATTGGGGCCACCATACAGCTTCTGGAGGCTACAATATAGCGTCTGGGGGCCACTGGATGCCATCCTATAGCTTCTGGCGGCTATTGGGGGCCACCGTATAGCTTCTGGGTGCCATCATCTCGCTTCTTGGGCCAACCATATAGCCTTTGGGGGCTACTGTGAAGCTTCTTCGAGCAACCGGGGGCCACCATATAGCTTCTGGGGGACACTGGATGCCACCGTATAGCTTTTGGGTGCCATCATATAGCTTCCTGGGGCCTACCATACAGCTTCTTGGGGCCACTATGAGCCCCTGTATAGCTTTTGGGGGCCACTGTGAAGCTTCTTGGAGCCACTTGGGGCCACCATATAGCTTCTGGGGGACACTGGATGCCATCCTATAGCTTCTGGCGGCTACTTGGGGCCACCGTATAGCTTCTGGGTGCCATCATATAGCTTCTGGGACCTACCATATAGCTTCTTGGGGCCACTATGAGCCCCTGTATAGCTTTTGGGGCCACCGTGAAGCTATTTGGAGCCACTGGGGGCCACCATATAGCTTCTGGGGGCTACTAGGGGCCCCTGTATATGCTTCTGGGGGCCATCATATAGCTTCTGGGACCTACCATATAGCTTCTTGGGGCCACTATGAGCCCCTGTATAGCTTTTGGGGCCACCGTGAAGCTATTTGGAGCCACTGGGGGCCACCATATAGCTTCTGGGGGCTACTAGGGGCCCCTGTATATGCTTCTGGGGGCCATCATATAGCTTTACGGGGCCATCGAACAGCTTCTGGGGGCCACCATATAGCTTCTTGGGGCCACTGTGTGCCCTGTATAGTTTTTGGGGGCCCCTGTATAGCTTCTTGGGGCCACTATATAGCTTCTAGGGACCATTTTGGGCCCCTATATATCTTCTGAGGGTCACCATATAGCTTCTAGGGGCCATTTGGAGCCCCTGTATAGCTTCTGGGGGCTACCATATAGCTTCTGGGGGTTACTAGGTGTCCCTGTATAGCTTCTGGGGGCCACCTAATAGCTTCTTGGGGCCACTGGGGGCTCCTGTATAGCTTCTTTGGCTACCGGAGGCCACCATTCAGCTTCTGGGAGCCACCATTTAGCTTCTGGAGGCCATTGGGGGCCCCTGTATAGCTTCTGGGGGCCACTGGGGTCCATGGTATAGCGCCTGGGGGTCACTGGGGGAATTTTTTATTTGAACCTAGAAAATTAAATGTATTTTGCCAGTTTCACTCAAATCATCAAATTTGGTGGCTGTTGAGATGGGGTAAAATTAAATTATCATTTTTTTTATCAAATTCATGTGATTTATCTCTAAAGCAGCACTTTCTTTTTCCTAGGGGGTATAACCTTTTCAAGAAGTGTTATTTTGGGCCACCTTTTAAAAGAAAGTGAAATGTAAAAACCTGATTATCATGATTTTACCATAGCAACTGAAATGTTATACATATTATATAAACCATATGATGAATTATTTCATTTTTACTTCTAATCATGTATATAATAGATAAGTATATACTTCAGATGCTTTAAAAATCAAGAATATGAAGAAAATTATGAAAATCAGCAAAATCATGCATTTCTACTGTTCTATTTCTGTTTCTATAGCAATGGATTAAGATTTTTTCTTGATTTTTGTCACATGTGTCAAGCATCATACTTAAATTAATTACCAAAAATTTCAAGTAAATATATTTATTAGTGTCTGAGATATGAGGGTGTCTTATCAG